AGCTACCTCTGCTTTTGACTGCATATTGCTTTACCCCCATTTTGGTGTCAGTTTGTATTCCAAACCTGAAACCCAACATATTTCCCTTTTATCCCGTAACTGTGGGACCTAAGTTGTTCCTTCTTCATAACACAGGCTTGCCTATTTACCCTTCCTCTGCCTTCAAAAATAGGGGGTGGGTGGGAATACAACACTCCTGTGAGACATTTTGATTGGGGCACTGAAAGGATACCACAGGTAATTCTGCTGGTGCTGGAACCGGTTTGGAAAACACAACTTGATGATGCAGCAGGGAAAACCTGGGATATGTGGGGGATAAGGAAGGTTTGCTGTTCAAAAGTTGGACCCCCTGTGTACATGCATGTACATGTATGTAAGAGCCCTGGTCTGGTACTGTTCACTTGTACAGAGTTGATTTCATGACCTGGCGCATATCCACTATTTTTTTAAAAAAGGTATCTAAAGAAAATTTGAACAGATAACAGATCTGTTATCAGCCCTTTTTGATAGCACTTTACAAATTCACTTGACTTGCCAATAAAGAAATGGTGCTAAGCGTTGCACCCGATTTGCGAAAGACAAATTTGTACATGAGTGATATGGCTAATATCCAGCACTTAGACATACGTGCAGTATTAGCGGCGGAAGACTGGAGTCTGAAAGCGCTTGCCCTTTTCTCCATCTCACACCTCATTCTCTGCTCCTCTATCTACTGTCCTAGTCTTCCCACTGAAAAACGCGATCATACAAAGCACTACAAAATAAATGTATTAGAATTGAATGGATCAAATTTAAGAAATCAAGTACACTGAGGTGCCAGAGAGAGAGTAACTACAGGGGTCATCTGTGCCTTTAAAGCACTGTCTAGATGAGAATATGCTGATCAAATAGTATATAGCAGGAGAAGCTCTGCCTTTACCACAGTCTTTACCAGCCTGAGGTCTGCCAGATGTTTTAGGCTGCAACTTTAATTCCAAAACTCTTAAATGCAATAAGGTTGATAAAACTTTTAATAACAAATATGAACTATACTGGGGACACAGGTGGCGTGGTGGGTTAAACCACAGAGCCTAGGACTTGCCGATAGAAGGTCGGTGGTTCGAATCCCCGTGACGGGGTGAGGTCCCTTTGCTCAGTCCCTGCTCCTGCCAACCTAGCAGTTCGAAAGCACATCAAAGTGCAAGTAGATAAATAGGTACCACTCTGGCAGGAAGGTAAACGGCGTTTCCGTGCGATGCTCTGGTTTGCCAGAAGTGGCTTAGTCATGCTAGCCACATGACCCAGAAGCTGTACGCTGGCTCCCTTGGCCAATAAAGTAAGATGAGTGCTGCAACCCCAGAGTCGGCCACAACTGGACCTAATGGTCAGGGGTCCCTTTACCTTTTACCTTACCAGCCTGAAATCTGCCAGATGTTTTAGGCTGCCGGCGCTGTGGGTAAAAGCCTCAGTGACTAGGGCTTGCTGATCGTAAGGTCGGCGGTTCGAATCCCCGCGGCGGGGTGCGCTCCCGTTGTTCGGTCCCAGCGCCTGCCAACCTAGCAGTTCGAAAGCACCCCCGGGTGCAAGTAGATAAATAGGGACCGCTTACTAGCGGGAAGGTAAACGGCGTTTCCATGTGCGGCTCTGGCTCACCAGAGCAGCGATGTCACGCTGGCCACGTGACCCGGAAGTGTCTCCGGACAGCGCTGGCCCCCGGCCTCTTGAGTGAGATGGGCGCACAACCCTAGAGTCTGTCAAGACTGGCCCGTACGGGCAGGGGTACCTTTACCTTTACCTTTTATTAAATGCAATAAGGTTGATAAAACTTTTAATAACAAATATGAACTATACTATGCCTGGATAGGCTTGCTGAAATAAGGTTTTCAGCAGACACAACTTCTGGCTGGCTGGGGCTGATGGAAGTTGTAGTGCAGAAGATCTGGAGGGCCCTACATTGGCAAGGGCTGCTATATGGCATTGTGAATTAAGCATTCTCTGTTGCACAACTCTTTTTGAATAGTACTGGAGTGCTATGCACTATGGCAAAGATGGGCAGAAGGAAGATTGAGATCTGGTAGAGCTCTGGCTGTTTTGCAGATGGGCAAGGTCTCTGTCTTCCAGTAATAGGGACAATTTTTGCACCAAAATAAGACTTCTGAAATTAAGAAAACTAATAGTGAACTGTTCAGTTCAGTTCTAGTACTAAAAATGAGTTCTTTATTTCAAAATGTGCTCAGTTGCATTGTTCTAACTGTATGACTTTTGCACCTGGTTCTGGTTCGATCTTGGAGCCCTAGTTTTTAAAAAATCAAATCTGAAGTCTGTCCATGCCTGCACTATGGTATCTGGTTTTACATAAAGCACTGTGTGACTGTAGCTGAGCGTACGATCCTAATCACATTTATGGAAGTTCACCTCATTGACTTCAGTGGGCTTATGCAACAGTAAGCATGCAAAGATGTGAATTAGGGAGGAATCTTCAGTTGTGTAGAGTCTCCAAAAACAACAACAAGGCAGTTAAAGAATTGCAGTTCCATTTATAAGGGGGCCTGCCTTTTATAACCACACCTGAGCAGTGTTTTCTGTTGATGGTGGGGGCATGAGTACTACCAGAGAACAAGAAGAGGCGAATTTGAAAGCCCTAGCATACACACACACAGTTGAATGGATGAAAATTCTACACTTTGGCTATCTGTTAAGATAAAGATGAGATATAAGGAGATACACTTCAATAATTCTTGACAGTGATTAAACAAGGCTGAGGTGCAGAGGTTGTCTTTTCTTTTATACTAATAGGCTGTGGTCGTCGGAACAGAACCTGGCCTTGAGAGACTTGCAGCCTGCTCTCACATATATTTCAGAGTCAATTCCACTGCTTTTAAGGGATTTTATGCTCAAGAGTTGAAGATCCCGGCCTTAAGAATCAAGTTGCCTTCCTTTACCTCCATAAGAGATTCCATTTAGGGGTAATTAGCCACTGACATACATAACGTGAAAATCATGACCCGCAAGTCAGGAGAAAGCAACATTCTGGAAAACACTTAGAACGTGAAATTGTGACCCACAGGTTTAGGAGGACGTGAAATTATGAAAAAACATGTGAAGTCACTTCTGGGTGTTTTTAACTTTTTTTCTGGGCCTCTGTTTTCTTTTACAATTCTGTCTGTTGCATTTAGGCTGCTTCCCATTCTTTTTAAGTGGACAGGAGCAGGTGGCTGGTACTTAAATGAGGCAAGCCAGGCAAATATGGAGGAGGGTGGCCCCTGTTGCATTTACACACATTCTCCTTTTTTTTACCCTATCCTTGTTTTGGGCACGACCAGCCCTTCCACACGAGGCAGCAAATTCCAAGGGGCGGAAAGTGACTCAAAATGTGTGTCACCTGGTCTGCCCTGCAGCCCCTAAGCTCCCTTGCTGCCCTCAGGGTGTGATGTAGGACCCTGTTTAGTCACGATTTTGTGCAGAAGGGGAAATGCAACATCTCAGGGATGTCCAACAGGTCGATTGCGATCTACTGGTAGATCCCTGCAATTTTGGTAGACCGCGATCAATCTCTGGCTCCCTTTCGTCTGTGTGTTGGTAAATCGGACTCCTGTCCCACCCCCTCGTCCCGCCCTCCATTGTTGGAACTCAGGAAGGGAAGACTGACCTCCCTCTGTGTGGCTGTTTTCATTCGTAGTGATGTTTTTGTGAATGACTTAACCCCAATTTCCCTTGCCTTCCTTCCCCCCAAAAAACGGAAGTCCCCTTCCCCCAAATGCCTGCCCCTTAACCCCCCCAAAAAAGCTCAACAAATTTGAGCTGCTGAACCCCTAAAAAAAATGGGCTAGATCACTGCCAGATTTTAATTCTGAAAGTAGACCGCAGTCTCTTCGGAGTTGGCCACCCCCGCAACATCTTGCCCTTTGCCTCTGGCGGCAAAATGGCTTGGGCCACTCCTGGTTGTGGGGGCACAGGGTGGGGTGGGGGGCTATCCTTGCCTCAGCTCACCACTGCTCACCGTTCTGCCTGGACACTGAGGTCCAGCTACGAGGGCCTTCTGGCGGTTCCCTCGCTACGAGAAGCCAAGTTACAGAGAACCAGGCAGAGGGCCTTCTCGGTGGTGGCACCCGCCCTGTGGAAGGCCTTCCCACCAGATGTCAAAGAGAAAAATAACTACCAAACTTTTGGCAGCCCTGTTTAGGGAAGCTTTTAATGTTTAATAGGTGATTGTATTTTAGTGTTCTGTTGGAAGCCGCCCAGAGTGGCTGGGGGAACCCAGCCAGATGGGCGGGGTATAAATAATAAATTATTATTAGTAGTATTAGTATTATTACTACTACTACTATTATTATTATTCCCTTTCTGGTACATGCCTGTCCTTGATTCGCAGCTGCCTGAGACGCCACCACAGAACCTGAGCCAAACCCCCAACCCGCCCCCCCCCAGTGCCTCTGTCCCTCAGCCACTTCCACACAGCAAGCAATTCTGTCTTACACCCTTCTTTCCAGGGCTCCGTTTTGAATACCGTGCTGTTAACAACTTCACCCTGCCATGACATCACCCCCTCCTCCTATCCTCTTGTTCCTTGGAGGAAGCGGAAATCATAAAACACTGATTTTCAAATTGGGGGACCCTCCAGGAAGGCACAAGAGAGCCAGGATGAGAGCCCAAGGGCAGGTGGGTGTGGTGGCAGCTTCTAATCAACCTCCAGCTGCCGCCCATCTCAGGTGCTTCGCTGAAGCAAACTGTTTCGCCTTGCTTTGTGGGTGTACCAGCCGGAGGGAGGCAGAGACCTGGCTGAGCCCAACAGAGCAACCTTTTCCTTCCTCAATTCTTTGACTCTGGAGCTGGGTTTTCTTTTCGCAGTTTTATAGCCAAATTTAGCTTTCTTCCCCACTGTTCCGCTGCTTTCAAGCATTGTGGGTGCAGCTCCACGTCTATGTTTTTCCCAAGGGTGGCTCTAAGCTATTAGCTTTCCTCTGAAAGTCTGTGAACTAATCACAAAGCAGGATATGTATCTGTTAAAAGGAAGAACAGAATTGCCCAGAAAATATCATCTGTTTATTGTGAGACTCGTTCATAACCATACAGAACTGGGTTCTCTCACTCTCAGCACATCCATCCTTTCAAGTAACCTTTTTCATTTTTCTTGTGGAGTGGGTGATCTTGGGGTAAGGATGGGGGAGATAGCCCTATTGCAAACCACACACATAAACACACACACACACACACACACACACACACACAGCCCTGATGAGCTTTCTCATTTTGAGGCTGGTGCAGATTGCTATAATTTCCAGTAATTCTGGCATGGAGGAGGGACACATGACAGCGTCCAAATCACAGGGGGCTCCATTCTCCTTGCAACTCTGTCCACAGGAAATACGGTCACTTGGGCAAGTACAGGCAGCGCCATTGCTCTCCTTTCAACAGAGGAATTGGGACCAGCACATCTAGGCCAATCATAGAGGGAAAGAGCTGCCTGATTCCTAACACCCCACCCACCCCCTCCACAGGAAGACGCTCCAGGGCACTAGTGGGGGTCTCAGTGCTTCAAGATGGAGCAGTGGCATAGCGTTTGGTTTCTGGCACCCGGGGCGGTCTGTGTTTGTGCACCGGATGGGCAGGGGGGACAAGTGTGCCAGGCTAACCCAGCCCTCACCACCAACGCCGCTGAGTGACCCCACCTCTACTGGGGCAAAGCAGAGCCATGCTGAGCTGTCTGCCCACCTGGCTGATGCAGGAGGGCTGGCCTGGGCTGGGGTCGCCTGCATGGGGTCGCCTGGTTCGTGCCCCCACAAAAGGCCTCCTCTTTGGAATTCTTCCAGAGCTGCAAGGAACCTCAGCCGGAATCCAGTTGCCAGCCAGGCTCAAAAACAAAGCCCAGAATGGTCCCCTCATGGCAATGTGGCATAGCCTGCCCCCATCTCGCACCAGGAGACGGACCAAGCCAAATCTAGCCCATCTGCAAGCTTTCAAGTCAGGTGAGGTGCAACTCTTCCCACTCCCAGACAGGTCTCGGATTTTAGAGCTGAAGGCTGGCAAGGGGGGGCGCTTCTCTTTCTATGGAGGGGCACCTGACCGATTCCTGCTTCCACCTTGGCAAGTGGGGCAGCAGGTAACAGAAGGACTTTAAATGGAGGAGGAGGGTGGAGTGTCGTTTCCGGGGTCTTTTGCCAAGCGGGCAGCAGCAGAATGAAGGACAGTGTAGCGACCAGTGGAAATAAATAAAATGGTCCCGTACCAAGGGAAGGCGCCGAAGAGACGCCTCCGTCTTTCATGTCCACACAGGCATGTGTGTCTGCGCCCAGCGTCACCTCATGACAGGGGTGATTTGGGTGGCAAAGATGGGTTCGTGGAGCGGAGGCCACAAGGGCTGCTGCTGGCTCAGCTCCTTCTCCAGCCTTTTGAAGAGCTTCTTCGACGACTTTTTCCCACACAGGTTCCGGAGGCCGTTGAGAAGCCCGTAGTCCAGGCAGGTCTGGAGAGGGCGGAAGAGAGAGAGAGACCCTGAGAGGCTGGCCGCCCTGCCATGCCCACTGCACCCAACAGCAGCTCCCACAACAGAGGCTTCTCTGGTGAGGCTGCAAGGCAGCAGCTCTCTCTCTCTGTGGCCTGCTCCCAACCTGGCACACAGGGGTAGGACTGCCCCTTAACAGGCAGGTTCTACTCAAGGGTCGTGGTTATTAGCTGCAGGTGGGCCCTTCCTCTCACACACCCACACCCTTAGATTTGCCTAATCCTTTTTAGAAAGCCAACTTTCATCAGGAGCCGTTGCTTGTCATCTGAAGGACCAGGTGCGCAGCCTGGGAGTCATTCTGGACTCACACTGTCCATGGAGGCACAGGTCAATTCTGTGTCCAGGGCAGCTGTTTATCAGCTCCATCTGGTACGCAGGCTGAGACCCTACCTGCCCGCGGACTGCCTCGCCAGAGTGGTGCATACTCCGGTTATCTCTCGCTTGGACTACTGCAATGCGCTCTACATGGGGCTACCTTTGAAGGTGACCCGGAAACTACAACTAATCCAGAATGCGGCAGCTAGACTGGTGACTGGGAGCGGCCACCGAGACCATATAACACCAGTCTTGAAAGACCTATACTAGCTCCCAGTACGTTTCCGAGCACAATTCAAAGTGTTGGTGCTGACCTTTAAAGCCCTAAAAGGCCTCAGTCCAGTATACCTGAAGGAACGTCTCCACCTCCATCGTTCTGCCCAGACACTGAGGTCCAGCACCGAGGGCCTTCTGGTGGTTCCCTCGCTCCGAGAAGCCAAATTACAGGGAACCAGGCAGAGGGCCTTCTCGGTAGTGGCACCCGCCCTGTGGAACGCCCTCCCACCAGATGTCAAAGAGAAAAATAACTACCAAACTTTTAGAACAGTGTTTCCCAACCTTTTTTGGGCAAAGGCCCACTTGTTTGATGAAAAAAATCTCGAGGCACACCACCATTACAGCCCCGTGACGTCAGCGCGCAGCGTCGCGCCGGGAGGGACGCACGAAAGTGTAAGTTTCAATTTTTTCCCCTCCCCTCCTGTGTAAAGGGGAATGCACTCTGCTAAGTAAAGGCACTTGCCACAGCAGCGTCAACGTCACAGCACCCACCGGCACCCAAGAGAGAAGGGGTCTCAGCAGCCCTTTTGCCAGGAAGAGGAGCAAGAACGAGAGGAGGAGGAGGAAGAGGAAGAGAGTCCCCCCCAAAAAACATTCTCCTTTTGATCTTCCTTATTTGCAATTTCTCATTGCAAAACAGCGGTTGATATAGAGCTGATTTTTTTGTTATTACAGTCCCCACCCCCTCACCTAGAAAAACACCCCCTGTCAATTTTATTATTATTATTATTATTATTCCCCGCCACTCTGGGAGGCTGAAGCCCTTTAAGGCTTCCTTCTGTCCACTCTCTGTGAATTACCTGCCCGGAGCGGGTTTCTGGGGGGGGGCGCTGCTGCCGGTGTCCTCCCCGTCGAGTCTCGCCTTGCCCGGCGCGTGGCGGCCGCCCTTTCCCACACTCTGCCGGCTGCGCTGCCAAGCCCCGCGGCTCGGCCTGTCAGCGTTACCGGGCTCGGCGGGCGGTAATTCCCGAAGAAAGCCGGCGGCGCTTGAAGCGCTGGCAAGCCCCCATTTGCATGTCTGTTTTCCGCAGCCCTTGGAGAGGATTAAGTTCCCTCCTTCCTGCCGGGGAACCTCCAAGCTTTGGGGGTGGGGGGGGGGAGGAGGCAGCAAAGCGAGGCAGGAAGGAGAGCGCGGCTTGGCTGGGTGAGCTTTGGCAGGGGCAGGGAATGAGAGCCGCGAGGCGGGCGCTGCGGGCGGAAGCGCTGCCCGCCGAGCTCGCAGGCAGCCAGACGGCGAGAGCCCCGCGCTGGGCGGCCTCTCCTCGCCGCCGCCGCCCCGCCTCTCGCCGCCCGACTCGCCCGCCTCCCTCCCACGGAACACAAGGCAACGTTCCGCGGCACACTAGTGTGCCACGGAACACCGGTTGGGAAACACTGTTTTAGAAGACATCTGAAGGCAGCCCTGTTTAGCGAAGCTTTCAATGTTTAATAGGTTATTGTATTTTAGTGTTCTGTTGGAAGCCGCCCAGAGTGGCTGGGGAAACCCAGCCAGATGGGTGGGGTATAAATAATAAATTATTAAATTAAATTATTACCATTATTATTATTATTATTATTATTATTATTATTATTATTATTATTATTGAGGCGCTTCTCTCCCATCCCAGAGAGGTTCAGAGGGTGGCAACAAGAGAACGGGCCTTTTCTGTGGTGGCTCCCTGACTGTGGAATGCTCTCCCCAGAGAGGCCCGCCTAGCGCCATCACTACAAGTCTTCAGGTGCCAGGCAAAAACATTCCTCTTCACCCAGGCCTATGGCTATTAAATAATCTATGGCCTGTGAAAGTGTGCGGGAGAAGACAGTTATTATGGTGATTATTTTACTATGAGGCCGTCTGTCATGATGGGTTTTTTTTTTTACGTTTCTATCACTGTAATATGATAGTAATGTGTTTTTTAAACGTTAACCCTGATAAAGGGTGGATTATCTATTGAATAAATTAACAACAACAGCATCCTGTGGCCAGTGCTTCCAGAAAGACATGGCTCCTCTGCCTTACTGTTCCCTGACTCCCAGCGGTTAAACTCACTCTGGCCGTTCCCTCACTGCGAGAAGCCAAGTTACAGTGAACCAGGCAGAGGGCCTTCTCGGTAGTGGCGCCCGCCCTGTGGAACACCCTCCCACCAGATTTCAAGGAAATAAACATCTGGTGTTTAGAAGACATCTGAAGGCAGCCCTGTTTAGGGAAGCTTTTAATGACTGGTGTTTTAATGTATTTTTAATGTTTCTTGGAAGCCACCCAGAGTGGCTGGGGAAACCCAGCCAGATGGGCGGGGTAAAACTAATAATTTGTAGTTGTTGTTGTTCAAGTGTTTAGGGAAGGAGAACAGGAGGAGGAAAAGGAAGAGGAGCAAGCTCCCTTCTCCCTGTTCTCCCCCCACATCCTTTTCTCAGACACCATGTCCCCGGCCTCCCTCTTGGCCATGACTTTTAACTCTCCCCCCCTGCCCACCCAATACCTCCAGCATGAAGGCTGTGAAGAAGTGGAGAGCAGCCATCCCCAGGAGAGCGAGCTTGAAGTTCAGGTCGTCGATGGCCTTCAGTTTCAAGAGGTATCTCATGAAGCCCAGCGGGTAAAGGGTTAACCAGGTCATGAGGCCGAAAAGGATGATTAAGGCTATCAAGAACACCACTGCGGGGCGGAGGGGAACAAGGAGAAAGCATTGAGAGGCAAGGAAAAGGATGAGCACTTGCAACATGCTGGGAGGCAGACACATACGCCACAAGTCTAACTGGACGGCTCGGTTGGTAAAAGCGCGAGACTCTTAAATCTCAGGCTCAGGGTTCGAGTCCCATGTTGGGCAAAAGATTCCTGCATTGCAGAGGGTTGGACTAGATGTCTCTCGTGGTCCCTCCCGACTCTACCATTCTATGATTCTTAAGGTAGAGCTTTCCAAGTGGGTGACCCACTTTTTAGACATTTCGCGAGACAGCAATTCCCTTTTGCTAGCCAACTGGAGGTTAAGCTACCGCCTTCCCAACCCTGGGGAGCGTTCGTGTGACACACCTACACACTAACATGTCACGACGCTCCGTTCTAAGGCTTACGATGTAAAAATGGGCACTTTCAAGAGCATGAGCCCCTTGTGGGTCTCCCCCTTCCACAAGCCACAGACAGCCCATAGGTGTATTCCAACCCCTCCAGCTCAGACTATCAGGGCCAAGAAGATGCCCCTGCAGCACCCACGGCCTCTGGCAGGGAAGGTGCTTGTGTCTGGTGCTCTCTTCTGCTTGCAATGGTTTTTACCTGTTTTATTTTTTTAATTATACCGATTACTCTGGTTTTGTAGCTGTGCATATTACAGTATATTGTTCTAACTGTGACCTTAGAGCATAGCTGTCGTTTCCCTTTTTTTAAGGGAAATTCCCTTATTCCAAACAGGATTCCTCGAAAGAAAAGGGAAAGGTTGACAGCTATGCCTTAGAGTGAAGGCTAGGTAACAGATTTTGTGAAGGAAATAATAAAAATAAATAAAAGTACCAGCGTCAGAATGGGCATGAGCTGGGCAGCTTCTGCAAATGGAAGCGAAGGTCAGTGAAAAGCCTCAAGGGAAGCTGGCAAGAGTCCATGGCTGTTTGGGGAAGCCCAAACAGGAAGAGAAAGAGAGTGGGGGACGGACTGAGATTCACTTCTCCCTTAGGCTTAGCAGAGAAGATGGAGGACGGTGTCAAGGAAGCTCTTGGGGAGGGGGCAGACTCACTGTTCGTGTAGAGGGGCTTGCGGAAGGGCTGCCCTTTGGACATGGCTACTGCCAGGATGAGGTACTGGAACCCGGAAATGCAGAAGACGACGGTGTTTTCGTAATTCGGGAGGTTCTGAGGGGCTGCCACCGTACTGTTCAAGGGGACGTACCTGGGGCAGAGATAATAATAATAATTTTTATTTATACCCCGCCCTCCCCAGCCAAGGCAGGGCTCAGGGCAGCTAACAAGCAATAATAAAAACAAGTTGAATGAATACAACTTAAAAACAAGATTAAAATACAACAATTAAAATATTGAAACATTAAAATACAGCCTCGTCACAGGAGGAGAAAGGAAAAAAGAAAAAAAAAGAGGGGGAGGGAATCAAATTGGCTCCAAGCCAAAGGCCAGGCGGAACAACTCTGTCTTACAGGCCCTGCGGAAAGAAATCAGATCCTGCAGGGCCCTGGTCTCAAGAGGCAGAGCGTTCCACCAGGCTGGAGCCAGTGTTGAAAAGGCCCTGGCTCTGGTTGAGGCTAATCTGACTTCCTTAGGGCCCGGGACCTCTAGGGTGTTGCTATTTATGGACCTTGAGGCTCTCCGTGGGGCATACCAGGAGAGGCAGACCCATAGGTACGAGGTAGGAGGGGCAGATGTTGGTGACACACAGAGACTCAACCACCCATCCCTGGGCCCTGATGGCCGGAGAAAAGGGGTCCTCTTTGTCCAGCAGGTTGGAACTGGCAGGGCAGCCAAATGAAATTGGAAAATGCCAGCCTGAGAGCTTGCCATGGCCAACACCACCTCCTCCTCAACTTCCCATCATGCTGATTTCACCCCCTGTGCCCATTGCTCACCACAGCTGAGAGACAGTGATGTAGTAGCTGGTGACCTGGATGGCGATGAAGAGGCTGGTCTGGAAGGCGAGGCTGCTCAGGACGATGATGTTGATGAGGGCTCCTTGTGGGCGCTTGGGGCCCAGGTCATTCGCCGGCGCCGTCCTGCCCATCAGAGCAGCCACCGTGGTGGTGATGATCAGGTCAAAGAACAAAAACTGCAGATCACTCAGATTGGTGTTGATCTGGGTTGGGGTGGGAAGACGATCAATGTGCCCGCTTTCAAGAAACAGAGCCTCCACAGTTCAGGAGCAGTCTACCTTTAACTCTGCCGCCTACACACCCCTCCCATTTGAGATTACAGCGGCACAGTACGAACCTCTCCTGGAGACAGGAAAACGGGCTGGACGGGTCAGAGCTTTTGCGTTGCAATTGCTATGCACATTCTAACCTGTGGGACTCATTGCCACGGGATGCGGCAGTGGCCCAATAGCACGCACAGGTTTATGCAAAAGATTAGAAGCAGTTGGAGAGGAGGACAGGCCTCCCCACCACAAAAGGGAGAAGAGCTTGAAGAAATAATCAACTGTGATCATATGAGCGAGTATTTAGTATTCCGAATCCAGAGGGACCTATCAAATACAGGATCCCATCTCTCTTGAAGTCCACCACGCTGTCTTTGGCATATGGGCCTATAAGTGTGCAAATATCTCTCACTGGTGGCTGCAAAATACAACCAGAAAGTGCTCTGGAGCCCCATCAAACTTGCAAATGCACAATAGTTGAACTTCAATAGAATCACCAGCACCCATGTCTTGGCCCTCAGGGTCCTGACAGCAGAAAATGAGCATGGAAACACGAGAGCAGGAAGAAAACTCAAGGCAAAAGCTTTTCTTTTTCACGCAATCCTTACCGTGTAGAGCAGGAGAACAGAGACAAACTGCACAAGGCTGTAGAGTGCCATGTATTTGAAGACCGCAAAGGAGGTGACCAGAGAACATCTCCCTTCCCTAAAGCGTCAAGATTGCCAAGAAAAATTAACACCAGGGAATGTGTCAGGGTGGGGAAGACCCAGTGAAACTTAAGAAACGTTCCTCATCCACAATCTACACTGGGATCATTCCAAAGTAAGCACAACTAGGCATCGGAAACAGTTTGGTGGGGTTTTTTGCCTAAAAGAAAAGAGCATTTTAATGTGCCCTGTTGTGGCTTCAGCTTCTTCCCCTGCCTGCAGTCGTGGCCAACTCTGGGGTTGCGGCACTCATCTCACTTTACTGGCCGAGGGAGCCGGCATACAGCTTCCGGGTCATGTGGCCAGCAGAGCAGAGCACGGAAACACCATTTCCCACCGGAGCGGTACCTATTTATCTGCTTGCACTTTGACGTGCTTTCGAACTGCTAGGTTGGCAGGAGCAGGGGCCGAGCAACGGGAGCTCACCCCGTTGTGGGGATTCGAACCGCCGACCTTCTGATCGGCAAGTCCTAGGCTCTGTGGTTTAAACCACAGGGCCACCTTACTTAGATATAAAGGGTGCCCCCCCAATACTGAATGCACATCAATTCTAATGAGATCCCACACAAACCAGGGGCCCAAAACTTTGGAAACCCACCCTGAGGTTTCTTTTTTTGTTTTAAGGAGGTAGTGATGCACGTGGGCAGGAAGACTCAGAAGGGTTTGCTTCTGTAAGGGACAAACTTTTCCCTTTCTGCCAACTGCTGTTCCTACAAGGTATTTTCATCAAAAGTTACCATAGTGGCTAGCGTGTGTGAAGTCCATGCCACTAAGTTCACAACTTTTTTTTTTTAAGGGAAATAACTGTTTTTCCAAAAGCACCTCTCTTGCTCCTTAAGGTAAAGGTAAAGGACCCCTGACAGTTAAGTGCAGTCGCGAACCACTCTGGGGTTGCGGCGCTCATCTGGCTTTATTGGCCGAGGGAATCAACGTTTGTCCGCAGACAGCTTCCAGGTCATGTGGCCAGCATGACTAAGCCACTTTCTGGCGAACCAGAGCAGCGCACAGAAACGCCGTTTACCTTCCCGCTGGAGCAGTACCTATTTATCTACTTGCACTTTGACGTGCTTTCAAACTGCTAGGTTGGCAGGAGCTGGGACCGAGCAATGGGAGCTCACCCTGTTGCAGGGATTCGAACCGCTGATCTTCTGATCGGCAAGCCCTAGGCTCAGTGGTTTAGACCACAGCGTTCCCTGTTCTTTTAGAGGAGCCCCCCAAAATATTTCTAGTTCCAATTAAAGAGGAGGAGCTACATTTTTTGAGACAATGGTGGGAAAGAGAATCATCTACTGCAAGCTCAGCATCCCAGAAAGCTCAATTCTCCCCAGACCTACCGGATGGCGATGGGGACACACTCGATGTTGGCTATCTTGGAAGTGAATGGCGACGCCACAGAGGCTTCCGCTTCGGAGAGTGAGATGCCCACATCGGCCGCCTTCAGAGCTCCACAGTCATTGGCACCATCCCCACACATCCCCACGCAGTAGCTGTGAACCGACACATGGGAGAGGAGAGTTGGAGCCTCATTTCCCCGCTTCCACCAGGGGCCAACACCCTGGAAGGCCCTGGTGTCAATTCTGCCCAACACCCCCTACCCCCACCAAACCCACCCCCTTCTCTCCAACTTTATCAAAGAGGAAAGGCAAAGGTTTGGAGCAATGGCAGCCCCACAGTCACAATTCAAGGTTCTTTCCCCTGTCCGTAAGGATTTCCATTGCTTTCGCCCACAGAAGTGAGAAAGCCATCTCTTCCTGCGGTTCTGGAACAAATCCCTCGCCCATCACACGCCTTTGCGACTCCCCCCACAATATCCCGGCAGTGGGGTGGGGGTGGGCGGTGGAGCGTCCCCCCTAAAAATGCCACAGACTTACTTCAGGTCTCGCAAGTTCTGGACCAGGAGAGTTTTCTGGTCGGGCGACATCCGGGCAAAAATGGTGGCCCGGACCAGTATCTGCAGAAGGCAGAGAGAGAAGAAGAAGAGTTTGGATTTGGTATCCCGCTTTATCACTTCCTGAAGGAGTCTCAAAGCGGCTAACAATCTCCTTTCCCTTCCTCCCCCACAACAAACACTCTGTGAGGTGAGTGGGGCTGAGAGACTTCAGAGAAGCGTGACTGGCCCAAGGTCACCCAGCAGCTGCAGGTGGAGGAGCGGGGAAGCGAACCCGGTTCACCAGATTACGAGTCCACCGTTCTTAACCACTACACCACACTGGCTCTCTAGAATCCGTTTCAGAGCTGCCACTGCCTCGAGAATCACAATACACCCAAGGCAGCTCACACAAGGAGGGGGGATCCCATAGTGGGATGGCAGGGCCTCCTCCGAGGAATGGCGGCCGCAGCGGAGGTCTGCAGCTCTGGGGCTTTGTGTGCAAAAGTTCCTTGGCAACACCTGCAGGTGAGGCTGGGAAATTCCCCTCCCTACTGGGGAGATGCTGAACCAGGGTTGGGGAACCTGAAACCCTCCACAAGATGCTGACTACAGTTTCCATCATCCTTGACCACTGGATGGGCTGGCAGAGGCTGATGGGAGCCGGAGGCTGGATAGACTTGGAATAAGGCACCTTCCTTCTTTCCTGGGCTAGGGGGCGCTTGTGGCACAAAGCATCGACCATCTTTAATTGACACAAGTGGATTTCTGGCCAATTTTGTTTAATGCCCCTCTCCTCCTCCCCAGCCAAGGGAAAGCTCTGGGGCATCTGACTTTGGGGAGCCATGTGACTCCTTGCAGCAGCATTGCACGTGATGCCACATACGAGTATGGTGAATGTAGCACCCTTTAACGTCCCTGCGAACATTCATCAGCTCCAAGAGGTGCACAAGAAGCCAATCAATCACCTTACTGATGAATAATCATCAATAATAGCAAGTAATCGTGCCAGCTTTGAAGAGACGCCCCCATGAGGTGCAGAATTTTTGAGCGGCTCCCGCTGCCATGGCTCTTGGTGGGTGCATTGGGGAAGAGGAGGGGTCTTCACCTCCTCCTGCTACCGGACCCTTTTCCACTGGCGACTGGCCCTGAGGGCTTCTGTAGGGCAACCCCCTCCTCCCTCCCTCAAAAGACAGCACCGGGCTCTAGAAAAAAGCAAGCCAGCAGCTTCCATTCTGATGCCATCAGTCAGATCTTTGAGGGCTTGCACAGGAACAAAGAAAGCTGCCTTATACCACATCAGACCACTGGGTCCATCTGGCTCAATGCTGCCTACACTGACCGGCAGTGGCTCCCTCCAGGGTTTTAGGCAGGGGTCCCTCCCAGCCAGTGGTGTGTGGGCATTGGACTAGGGGGACTAAGCTAGCCCCCTTAATGTTCCCAATAAATTAGAGTTTTAAAATATTAAAGCCTGGTGCCTCCTTCCCGAAGCCTGGGAAGCTTCAGCCCAGCTTAGGGAGGGAGCAGCAAGGCTTTGACAGGGTCCAAGAGCCCTCCTTCCACCTCCCCAAAGCCTGCCCAACTTTGGGAAGGAGGCAGCAGGGGTCCAGCATCCTGTCAGAGGCTTAGCCACTCCTTCCAAAACCCTGGGAAGCTTCTGCTGGCTTAGTGAGGGAGGCCTGATGCTAGCATGCAGGATATCACCCATACCCACACCCCAGTTGCCCTCGCAAGCTGTTCCCCTACAAAAATTTCACTACACCCCACTGATCCCAGCCCTACATGGAGACGCTAGTTGGAGATTGAACCTGAGACCTTCTGCATGCAAAGCAGGTGTTCTAACCACTGAGCGATGCAGTCTTTTCCCTACAGACTTGCATCTGTTCAGCGCATCTGGGGACAGTGAGCAGAGAAAGCCCTTTGCCAGAGGATGGGGTGAGGTTTGGGGGGGATGGACAGCTGGGCAGCAGCAGCAGGCAGCTCTGCCTCTCATCCTGCAAGGCTCCTGCATCCAGCATTACCTTCGGCAGGAGGTCCGGAAAGTGATCGCAAAGCACCGCGAAGGATTGCCCATTGACGGCCAAGTGGTACGGGTGCTGCTGCTCCAGGAAGTAGCTCTCCCGTTGGTACGAACCCTGCAAAAACCCAGCAGTTGACATTCAGGCCTCTTCCCAATGCCCCTACCTTCCCAAGCCTTGCCCCAGTGCCTGGGCACGCAGGAATGTGATGGAAAGGTTGCAGCTGGCACAGAGAGGGAGGAGGTGGGCACAGCAACCCCACTGACTGTAAGATGCACAGCAGGCCAGCAACCAGGAAGGGAGCAAAGTGGAGCGAGGTCTCTAAGGAAAACTGGCATCAGGTGCCCCATAGCTGGTCAAGCTCAGGTCTTTTCATGGACAGGGGCAGCCCAGGGTGACCACATTGGGCAAGATGCCCCAGGAGCCTTTAAGGTGGCATTCCCCACCTCTCCTCCTCCCAAATTCTAGAAGCGGCAAGGCATGCCACCTCCCTGGAAGCCACGAGGGCACTTGATGTGCCAGGCTGCCCACAGAGGAAGTTTGGGTAGGGAAGGACTTGCATCGGGCTGCTCCAGGTGATGCTCGTAAGGGACAAATCTGAGGGCAGCCGGCTCATCCCGGCCACGAGGAGGGGCGGCGTGGACGAAGAGAACCCGCTCCTTGGCATTCACCATCCGGCAGCTCCTGGCCACATTCACAGCAGTCAGCATGTTGTCTCCTGGTGGGGAGAAGAAGAGAGGGAGAGGAACAGGAACAGAGGTGCTGGGCTTCACCACACCTAGATGGCAACAAACGCGAAACACAGAAAGAAGCGGGCATCCCCTGCCCTCCTCCCCGTCTGATACCTGTGACCATCACGGTTCGGATGTCTGCGTTGTGCAATAAGTGGATCACTGGAGCAGTCTGGGGCTTAAGAACGTTCTTCATCACCAGGAACCCCAGGAAGACCATCCCGCTCTCCACATCGTCCCTGCCGGCCCAAGGAGAAACCCCCGTTATCAGTGGGCCTCTGGGCAGAGCAGGGGAGCCCAGGCCGGAGAGGGAGCCGCTGCCAGGTTCCCAGGCACCTTGTCATGTCCTGGGCCTCTTCGAATGTCCCAATGGCAGCGAGGGGCTTGAAAGCCAGCCCAAGGACCCGGAACCCGTCGCTGGTGAAATGGCGCAAAGTCTGGGTGAAATCCGCAGGGACTGCAATGCCAAGAGAGAGGGTTGGTTGGTTTAGGAATGCATCGCTGCAAAAGGCAAGAAGGAAGACCTCTCCCAACAGCCCCACATGCCAAAGATGGCTGCTGAGGGTTCCTTTCCCCACCCCTTCTGAAGGACCCTAGGCAATTTCAGTGTACATTAAACACTTTGTTGTTTTCAATTAACCATGTTGCTTCTAATTCAGATCAACATGCACCAGCAGACAGGCATTTGACTACTGTATTTCACCTCCAGGCTTGACTACTGTAATTCGCTCTACACAGGGCTGCCCTTGAAGCTGTCCCAGAAACTCCAGTGGGTGCAGAATGCTGCAGCGAGGCTCCTCACAGGGTCTCTGCCATGGGAGCATATTCACCCAGTGCTTTTCCAGCTGCACTGGCTCCCGGTGGAGTACAGGGTCAGATTTAAGGTGCTGCTTTTGACCTTTAAAGCCCTTCACGGCCTAGGACCCTCATACCTACGGGACCGCCTCTCCTAGTATGCCCCATGGAGAGCCTCAAGGTCCATAAATAGCAACACCCTAGAGGTCCTGGGCCCTAAGGAAGTTAGATTAGCTCCTGGCCTTTGGCTTAGAATCAGTTTGATTCCCTCCCCCTCTTTCTTTTTCCTTTCTCCTCCTATGAAGAGACTGCATCCTAATGTTTTAATGTTGTATCTTAATCTTTTAAATTGTATTTTAATCAACTTGTTTTTATTATTGCTTGTTAGCCGCCCTGAGCCCAGTCTTGGCTGGGGAGGGCGGGGTATAAAAAATTATTATTATTATTATTATTATTATTATTATTATTATTATTATTATTATTATTATTTCTGCCAATCCAAGCACTTCAGCCATAACAACCTATTTTGTCCACAGCTACCGGATCTGGAGTGGCGTGGCCCTGTGGCCCTGATCGCCTGGGGGCAGGGCTAGGCTATTATTTTTTACCCCTACAGGTCCGTTGTGAGTTCCAGTTCTGGACAGCAGTCCAATCCGCTGTCCACCATGGCCTGGCATCAGGACCTGACCAATCCAACTCCAGACTTCCAACTAAGCCTACAGGAGATGCCAGTAAAGCACCACCCGAGGGAGACATAGTGCTGCCAAGTGCAGACCAGGAAAGAACCACGTCTAGTCACTTGGGGTGACACCAAAGCCCTTGTTGCCACCAGACAACAACAGCCTGAACAACCAGGGACATTATTTGATGCCATATCTTTGCCCAGCTTACTGCAAACTATACAATGTGTTTCCTCGTTTTTTCAACCTCCCGTCGTCCTCCGTTATTCCTACACCTTCCTCCATCATCAAAGTGATGCTAAGAACCCCATCACCGCTCAGCTACTCAGGAGGTGTTCCTGGGTGTTCCTGGGCCCAACACGCCCCTCCCTGGACCCCCAATGGCTCCAGCAAAAATAGAAGTGGCACAACACCCAGGAAGAAGAGAAACCAAGTACTGTATCTGGGTTAGTAGAGAGCAAGTAGGTAGTTACACCTGGTGGGAAGGAAGAGCCATGTTAGCCAATACCAGAAGGATGTGTAGACTGACCCGATTCCTTATCGCAGAGGCTGGCCACCATCTCTGGAGACCCCTTCATGTACGCCTGTGAAGGCCCCCCGCCGGTGGGCTTCACCAGAACACTCATTCGCTGCAGGGCTGAGGAAAACGGGAAGCGGCGGAGAATAGCCACGGGCGCCAGGTGTTCCTGAGTCAGACACAGAATGGCAGAATGGTCTCTTGGCAAGGGGGAGGCTAGAGAAGCCAGAGTCTTCCACCCTGCAAGCTCACTTTTTAGCGTTGCCATCCCAGCATGCATTGGGAAGGGAGGGCTGATGAGGGAAAGGGGCCTGTTCTCCCATGGGACCAAACACCCTCCAGCACTGCACAACACTCTACAACTAAAAGGTAAAGGGACCCCTGACCATCAGGTCCAGTCGTAGGCCGACTCTGGGGTTGCAGAACTCATCTCGCTTTATTGGCTGAGGGAGCCGGCGTACAGCTTCCAGGTCATGTGGCCAGCATGACTAAGCAGCTTCTGGCAAACCAGAGCAGCGCATGGAAATGCCATTTACCTTCCTGCCAGAGCGGTACCTATTTATCTGCTTGCACTTTGAGGTGCTTTCGAACTGCTAGGTGGGCAGGAGCTGGGACCGAAAGACGGGAGCTCACCCCGTTGCGGGGATTCGAACCGCCAACCTTCTGACCGGCAAGTCCTAGGCTCTGTGGTTTAACCTACAACTACGTGCAGGCAAATGCCCCACAGCCTCACCTTGCCATGAAGCTGCTCTCCCACTGGTGGAGGCCTCATCACCGCCAGGGCTCTGGTCCCAAAAAGCTGGGTTGCTTGCGCCTCTGCCGCGTCCCCTTCAGTTTCCTCCTGGATCTAGAAGGAAGGCAGGCATTAGAGGAAGCAGAGGCTTCCCCCTCCATTGCCCCAGCCTGGGGTGCCACCTTGCATTGTCAGACCACTGGGCCCATCTAGACCCTTGTTATCACCACCGCCATTATAACAGGGCTGCTGCCCCCCCAGGGAGATGACCCTCTAAATTTCAACGAAGGGAGGCAGCCACAAAGGAAAGCGGCCTAACAGGAGGCGGGAGGAGACTAAGAAGGTCCCAACTCCTGACATCAGCTCTGGTTCCCCAAGGACAGAGAGGTCTTCCTCCACCTCTACAATCCAAGTTTCCTTTGAAACAGCAACCATGAAAGACACCAGACTGGAAACGGGCCTAGAATCATCATCATTCGCCACAATGGCTATGTATCCCAGCGTTGGGGCTGGCCTCCCTTCTGTCTCCTCCAGCTGAGCTGCGGCCTCCCATTCCTCTTTTCCTCAGCTGGGGTGACAAGATCCAGCCCCTCCTTTGGCTCTTGCAAACATGGCTCGGTGTAGTCAGAAACTCAGTGCCGTTTCCTCAGCAGAGCAGAGCTCGGATCGGTTCCCCTCCCCACCTCTGCCTCTCTCTCTCTCTCTCTCACCCATCCAGTGGATTCCAGCAGCTTGAGGTCCACAGGGTCTCCAATGAGCTGCTCCCCAAGCCAAGAGAGGGTGTGGCAAGTGGCCAAGCAGCAGAGCAGCGGACCGCTGTCCAAGCAGCGCAGCTCATGGACGAGGGGCAAGAAAGAGCCCTTCTCCAGGGGAACCACGCCCCAAATGTCCAGGCCGTCCTCCGTGAGGGTCCCTGTCTAGGGGAGACACAGGCTAAGTCAGAGCATGGGCAAGGCAACAGGCAGGTGAGGTTAGCAGCCCACTCCCACCCTGCCCTGGGACCCTCACCTTATCAAAGCAGACCAGGCGCACCTTCCCACAGAGGTTGATCCGTGGGGGGCTGATGCAGAAGATCCCTTGCTGCTTCAGCCTGTTCTGGGCATAAATGGTGCCCACCGTCATGGCAGCTGGCAAGGCCGGGGGCACAATCACCGTCACGACATCCAGGGCACGCAGAATGATCTGCCGGAGTGTCTCCTGTTGGGGCGAAGGATGCTGGGAGTCACGGGGGAGCTGCCTTGCCCTGGGTCAGCCCCTTGGCCACCTAGCTCAATACGTCCTACACTGGCTGGCAGCAGTGGCCCTACTTGGAGAGGCTGCTAGGAACTGAACCGGCGACCTACTGCAGGCAATGCCTTCTGCAGCCGCAGCCTATTCTCCAGAAGCCCCCATGGTTCACCAGCAGCCAGGTTCTCCACACCTGAAGGGTTCCCTGCAATATCCGAAATGCTACGTCATCTGCACGGACAAGGCCTCACCCCGCTCCACAAAAGGGTGCTGCCTGGTTCTGAGACATCCAAGGAGACCATTCTCCTCTTCCTGAAGTGTGTGTGTGTTATTGGCCAGACAAGATGGAAGGACTCCTGGGAACACCTTGGCAGGAACCATCCCATGCTCAAGCATTCTTCCCATGGGGAATCTCATTGTCAACCACCAACAATTCAGAGCGTTGGGCGCAATACTGGCAGCCCTATTAACACTCTAGGAATGGGATTCTTCCCGGTTGAGCCCTCCCAGGGTCTCCCCTTGTCACTGGAGAGCCTTTGTGACCCCCCCCCCCGTGATGTCACTTCCTCTTGTTAGGAGAGCTCTCCCTGGTGTGCCGTTTCTTCATTACCTTCCTGGTTCTCTCCCCAGGTTTGCAAAGTTTCATTACGCCAGGCTCCTTCACCTGGTGCTCTGGAATTTTAAAATTCCACTGCCTTGCTGCTGGCCTCAGTCCAGTATATCTGAAAGAGCGTCTCCACCCGCATCGTTCTACCCGGACACTGAGGTCCAGCACAGAGGGCCTTCTGGCAGTTCCCTCACTGCAAGAAGCGACGTTACAGAGAACCAGGCAGAGGGCCTTCTCGGTAGTGGCACCCGCCCTGTGGAACGCCCTCCCACCAGATGTCCAAGAGAGGAACAACTACCAGACTTTTAGAAGACATCTGAAGGCAGCCCTGTTTAGGGAAGCTTTTAATGTTTGATGGATTACTGTATTTTACTATTTTGTTGGTTGCCGCCCAGAGTGGCTGGGGAGGCCCAGCCAGATGGGCAGGGTATAAATAAATTATTATTATTATTATTATTATTGTTATTATTACATGAGTCAAAACGAGTCAACGACTTGCTTGTTTGTGCTCGGCTAGCATTCCCAAGTGGCTCCTTCTCCCCATGCTTCGGTGAGGTTTTCCTGAGTTCTTGGGAACTGCTTTAAACGCCTTGCTGGGCAAAAGTGCACAGCAAAAGTGCAGCTAAAACAAGCAAAGCAAAACACCCAAATGGTGCCTTTCCTTGCAGGCTGGCCGGAAAAGCCGGGTTCGAAGTGCAAAGGGTTGTGGGGTCCAGTAGGCCTCCATGGGGCGGTGGCGTGCTCTGGCACAACTGTCAGGCGCAGCTTTCTTAAGTTGTGAGAAGCACCTCTCAAATTGGGGAATAGGGGTGCAGGACGGGGGGCTCAGAAGAACCCTCACACACACACACACACCCGTGGAACTTCACTGACCTTGTTTCGATACAAGATGTAGATGCTGTAGCCAGTACCGATAGCCGCTGGAGGACGAAGGAGAGAGAAAGGAGATTTGACTGTCACAATTCCACAATGGGGAATAATCCCACAGTAACCCTGAATTCTAGTATTATGGGAGAGAGGAAAACTTTCTCCTATCCACATTTCTGCATGCTGTGCATAATTTTATCATTTATTTATTTATGTGTTTGTTTATGTAATTCTTATTAGATTTTCTGTTATACAATTTAAAGTACTTGTTTTTACATCCTTAAGATATCAATGACCTCCCTTCTTCTCTTTCCATGGTTCATTTTGCATATCATAAATCCCTGCATATTTTACAAAAACCATACCATTCAGTATTCCATTACTGCATCCATCAAAACTTATTTGCACTGTTGAATTTATCTTAATGCTGCCAGTGTTTTCAGCTGTACACTGAATATTCAATAAACGTTTTCCAGTCTTCTCTAAACATACAGTGGTACCTCGGGTTAAGTACTTAATTCGTTCCGGAGGTCCGTACTTAACCTGAAACTGTTCTTAACCTGAAGCATCACTTTAGCTAATGGGGCCTCCTGCTGCTGCCGCGCCACCAGAGCATGATTTCTGTTCTCATCCTGAAGCAAAGTTCTTAACCTGAAGCACTACTTCTGGGTTAGCGGAGTCTGTAACCTGAAGCGTATGTAACCTGAAGCATATGTAACCCGAGGTACTACTGTATGTTCTTCTTGTTCTCTTATTCCATATGTTAAGTCTGCAAGCTGCGCATATTCTGTCAACTTAAGTTGCCATTCTTCTAATGTTGGGACCTCGCTCGTTTTCCATTTTGGAGCTAACAAAACACAGGCCGCAGTAGTAGCATACATAAATAACCTTTTCTGACACCTGGGAATTTCAGTCTGGATTATCCCCAACAGAAAGGACTCTGGGTTGTGTTTTTTTTTTTGGGGGGGGGGTTTGAGAAATTACTTTTGAACATTTTTTTCAATTCATTACGTATCATTTCCCAATACTATGCTGTGCATGATTTTATAAATTTTTATCACAACACCTCTTACTCACCTTTCCCCTAAACTAAGAAGTCCCCAAGCATCGCAACCTTTCCCCATAGGGGAGCCACACCACCCTCTTGATTGCTTTAGTTGCCCTTTTGCGGAACCTTTCCCAACAGTACAGTATCAACTAGGGCCAGGGCCTTTTCAGTACTGGCCCCAACTTGGTGGAATGCTCTGTCACAAGAGACTAGGGCCCTGCGGGACTTGACATCTTTCCGCAGGGCCTGCAAGACAGAGCTGATCCGCCTGGCCTTTGCTTTGGACTCAGTCTGACCCTTATGTTTCCCTCCCCTTATGGTTTTGATCTATGGGCTACTATTAAAATGTGGCTGCATTTTAAATTGTATTTTAATCTGTATTTTAAATTGGTCCCCCCCTTTATGTTTTTATTGTAATTTTACTGGTGTTAACCACCCTGAGCCCATCTCTGGCTGGGTATAAATAAAAACTTATTATTATTATTATTATTATTATTATTATTATTATTATTACATCCTTTGTGAGGTGCGGTGATCATAACTGCACACAGGCCTCCTAAGGCGACCACACCATAGATTTGTGGCATTATGACACTAGCAGTTATTATTATTATTATTATTATTATTATTATTATTATTATTATTAGAACTTTTCAAATAATAATAATAATAATAATAATAATAATAATAATAATAATTACATCCTTTGTGAGGTGCGGTAACCAGAACAGCACACAGGCCTCCTAAGGCGACCACACCATAGATTTGTGGCATTATGAGACTAGCAGATATTATTATTATTATTATTATTATTATTATTATTACTACATCCTTTGTGAGGTGCGGTGACCATAACTGCACACAGGCCTCCTAAGGCGACCACGCCATAGATTTGTGGCATTATGACACTAGCAGATATTATTATTAATTATTATTATTATTATTATTACATCCTTTGTGAGGTGCGGTGACCATAACTGCACACAGACCTCCTAAGGCGACCACGCCATAGATTTGTGGCATTATGACACTAGCAGATATTATTATTAATTATTATTATTATTATTATTATTACATCCTTTGTGAGGTGTGGTGACCATAACTGCACACAGGACTCCTAAGGCGACCACGCCATAGATTTGTGGCATTATGACACTAGCAGTTATTATTACTATTATTATTATTATTATTATTATTATTATTATTATTATTATTATTATTTGAACTTTTCAAATAATAATAATAATAACAATTATTATTATTATTACATCCTTTGTGAGGTGCGGTAACCAGAACAGCACACAGGCCTCCTAAGGCGACCACGCCATAGATTTGTGGCATTATGACACTAGCAGATATTATTATTAATTATTATTATTATTATTATTACATCCTTTGTGAGGTGCGGTGACCAGAACAGCACACAGGCCTCCTAAGGCGACCACGCCATAGATTTGTGGCATTATGACACTAGCAGATATTATTATTAATTATTATTATTATTATTATTACATCCTTTGTGAGGTGTGGTGACCATAACTGCACACAGGACTCCTAAGGCGACCACGCCATAGATTTGTGGCATTATGACACTAGCAGTTATTATTACTATTATTATTATTATTATTATTATTATTATTATTATTATTTGAACTTTTCAAATAATAATAATAATAACAATTATTATTATTATTACATCCTTTGTGAGGTGCGGTAACCAGAACAGCACACAGGCCTCCTAAGGCGACCACGCCATAGATTTGTGGCATTATGACACTAGCAGATATTATTATTATTATTATTATTATTACATCCTTTGTGAGGTGCGGTGACCAGAACAGCACACAGGCCTCCTAAGGCGACCACGCCATAGATTTGTGGCATTATGACACTAGCAGATATTATTATTAATTATTATTATTATTATTATTACATCCTTTGTGAGGTGCGGTGACCATAACTGCACACAGGCCTCCTAAGGCGACCACGCCATAGATTTGTGGCATTATGACACTAGCAGATATTATTATTAATTATTATTATTATTATTACTACATCCTTTGTGAGGTGCGGTGACCATAACTGCACACAGGCCTCCTAAGGCGACCACGCCATAGATTTGTGGCATTATGACACTAGCAGATATTATTATTAATTATTATTATTATTATTACTACATCCTTTGTGAGGTGTGGTGACCATAACTGCACACAGGACTCCTAAGGCGACCACGCCATAGATTTGTGGCATTATGACACTAGCAGTTATTATTACTATTATTATTATTATTATTATTATTTGAACTTTTCAAATAATAATAATAATAATAACAATTATTATTATTATTACATCCTTTGTGAGGTGCGGTAACCAGAACAGCACACAGGACTCCTAAGGCGACCACGCCATAGATTTGTGGCATTATGACACTAGCAGATATTATTATTAATTATTATTATTATTATTACTACATCCTTTGTGAGGTGCGGTGACCATAACTGCACACAGGACTCCTAAGGCGACCACGCCATAGATTTGTGGCATTATGACACTAGCAGTTATTATTACTATTATTATTATTATTATTATTATTTGAACTTTTCAAATAATAATAATAATAATAATAACAATTATTATTATTATTACATCCTTTGTGAGGTGCGGTAACCAGAACAGCACACAGGACTCCTAAGGCGACCACGCCATAGATTTGTGGCATTATGACACTAGCACTTTTGTTTTCATTTCCCGCCCCCCCCCCCTCACAATCCCTGGGGGCATAAAGTTTGCCTTTTCCATGGTTGCCGAACCGCGGGCTGACATCTTCACAAACTTACCCAGGACTGTGAGAAAACCAACAAACTTCCATGCGTCTTTATAAAACCGAAAGCTGAGTGGCTTGGGATGGAGGATGGAGCTGATGAGGTCTCCTTTGGCAGTGTAGAAGCCTGACGAGAGAGGAGGAAAAGGGGCTGAGGCAGGCAGAACCCCAAAACGCGTCGTGGGAAAAGTTGAAAGTGCCGCAGCAGCAGCAGCAGCAGCAGCAAACCTCGAGGGATCAATGCAGCAGCCACAGTCCCGGGTCTATGGCAGGCAGCAGAGCCAACCCATGGGCAGGAGGCCCTCATTGCAGGCTCAGAATCGCTTTGCCCTGGGGGGCGCCTTGTGAGTGTGCCGGGGGCAGAGACCATGAGGCTGCAGTTTCAGAAAATGCCATCTCAACCACAGGAGAGTAAGGGCACTCCAGGAACAAAGGGGGTTGCTGAGCAGATTGCTGTCCAAAAGACGTTCAGCACCTTCAGGCAAGGGACTAAAACTAGGGGTGGGACGGGACGCACATCTCGCTTCATGAGGGTGGATAAAAATCAATTGTTTTTTTTTTAAAAAAACAACAACAGGTTTTTATTTTATTTTTTTAAAAATTGATTTTTTTATTTAAATCAGATTTTTTTTATTTAGATCGGATTTTTAAAATAAATTGCTTTATTTTTATTATGATGCTATAACTGATACTCTTTTCTTATTATTAACTCTTTTGTGTTCTTTTTCTTTTTCTTTTCTTCATTCTTTGCTGTAACCATTTGTAATGTATTTGTAAGATGATATTGTAAATCAATAAAGATTATTTCTTAAAAAAATAAATTTAATAAAAAATAAAATGCTTTTGGAGGAAAAATCTTTCTAAATAGAGTTTTTTATTTAAGTTACAGTACAGTCCAAACACTATTCTTCAGGAAATAAGCACTTGTTTTAATTTTCAAGTTTAAGTCTAAGGGTGTGTTTTTTTCAAAAAAATCGTTTAACCACATCAGTTAACAAACATGGATACATATGCTATGTTATTGTTTTAGTTAAATAAATTGTTTAAATTGTTATTAAGGAATCATAGAATCATAGAGTTGGAAGAGACCACAAGGGCCATCGAGTCCAACCCCCTGCCAAGCAGGAAACACCATCAGAGCACTCCTGACATATGGTTGTCAAGCCTCTGCTTAAAGACCTCCAAAGAAGGAGACTCCACCACACTCCTTGGCAGCAAATTCCACTATCGAACAGCTCTTACTGTCAGGAAGTTCTTCCTAATGTTTAGGTGGAATCTTCTTTCTTGTAGTTTGGATCCATTGCTCCGTGTCCGCTTCTCTGGAGCAGCAGAAAACAACCTTTCTCCCTCCTCTATGTGACTTCCTTTTATATATTTGAACATGGCTATCATATCACCCCTTAACCTCCTCTTCTCCAGGCTAAACATGCCCAGCTCCCTTAGCCGTTCCTCATAAGGCATCGTTTCCAGGACTTTGACCATTTTGGTTGCCCTCCTCTGGACACGTTCCAGTTTGTCAGTGTCCTTCTTGAACTGTGGTGCCCAGAACTGGACACAGTACTCCAGGTGAGGTCTGACCAGAGCAGAATACAGTGGCACTATTACTTCCCTTGATCTAGATGCTATACTCCTATTGATGCAGCCCAGAATTGCATTGGCTTTTTTAGCTGCCGCGTCACACTGTTGGCTCATGTCAAGTTTGTGGTCAACCAAGACTCCTAGATCCTTTTCACATGTACTGCTCTCAAGCCAGGTGTCACCCATCTTGTATTTGTGCCTCTCATTTTTTTTGCCCAAGTGCAATACTTTACATTTCTCCCTGTTAAAATTCATCTTGTTTGTTTTGGCCCAGTTCTCTAATCTGTCAGGGTCGTTTTGAAGTGTGATCCTGTCCTCTGGGGTGTTAGCCACCCCTCCCAGTTTGGTGTCATCTGCAAATTTGATCAGGATGCCCTTGAGTCCATCATCCAAGTCGTTGATAAAGATGTTGAATAAGACCGGGCCCAAGACAGAACCCTGTGGCACCCCACTAGTCACTCTTCTCCAGGATGAAGAGGAACCATTGATGAGCACCCTTTGGGTTTGATTGTTTTTCTCCTTCCAATAAAGTACAGCAGAAAAGTTGTCCAAATGTTAACTTATTAAACCTCACAATAATTTCATAATTATCTGTCTATGTACTTCTAATAGTATAACCAAATCAGTAATTTTTGATAGAACTGTAAAAACTCCTCTGAAAATTGTTTATTATTCCAAAAATGAAACCTTCATCTGGTTGTAAATACAGTGGTATTTACAGTTGCGGACACGATCCGTTCCGGGGTGCGGTTTGCACTCCGAAAAGTCCGCAACTAGAGTGGCGCTTCTGCGCAAGCGTGGAGAATGATAAAGTGCTTCTGTGCATGTGCAAAGCGCACAGAACACTTCTGCGCGTGCACCGAAACCCAGAAGTATACACTTCCGGGTTTGCCGCGTTCGCAAGCCGAAAAGACGGAACATGAACCTAACGCAACACAAGAAATGACCGTATTAAGATTATACCAGCAAGAATGAATCTGTAAAAAAAAATAATTAATCAAGTCTTACTGACTATTGATTTAAATCGTGTTTGTTATGTACTGAAGTTCTCACCCTGGGCCAGCAGGGGGATACTGTAGATAGTTATGCAAATAAGGGATCGAAAGTGACATTCAGTGATTGGATAGTTTTAGAAAATTGTTACAGTTGCGTTGTACTGGAGTTCTATATAAGCAGGCTGACTGAACCCTTCAGTTCAGTTCTGTCCTGGCCTGTGAATAAACAAGAGCTGTTTGAAGAATTGCTGTGTCATCTGGTATGTTCACCCACAACCTAACAGTGTTTTAAATCAATTTGATTTAATTCGATTTGATTTAAATCAAAGCCACTCTGCGCTTCATTAAGCTGACCTGTGCGAGTGACCACTGCCAGAACCTCAGGGCCCACGTAGGGTCTTGCCTGGATGACCTGCGTTCCGCAGAACAGCGTGTGGCGCTTGTGTTCCTCAGGGGAATAGACGGTGCTGGTTGCTTGGGGGCCTTCGGGCAAAGAGGTCTTCATCACTGGGATGCTCTCGCCTGGAGGGAAAGAGGCTCACTGAGGATGAATGGCCAACACCCAGCCTAGCCCAGTGGCAGGCCCTAAAGCAGCTCACCCCCCCAGCCAGCACCCTGCTCTGTCCTCACCGGTCAACATGCTCTCGTTCACCAGGCACTCGCCCGTCAGCAAGGCGGCATCGCACGGGACCTGAAGTCCATCCACGGGCACGACAATGCAGTCGCCTGGCACCAGGTCCATGGAGCTCACTGTCACTATCTCTGTTCAACACCACCAGCCACCAAAAGAGAAAACAGGTCACACCTCTCCAGGAAGGAATAAGGCAAGAGTTCTCAGAAGTTTTTAAAGGGGGGAGGGGGAGGCTGCAACTAGAGCTAAAGGGATAGTTTCTAGAAAGGTCAGGTTCTCCACTGCTTTTTTGTCATTGGCATTATTATTATTATTATTATTATTATTATTTAAAGCCCGCCTATCTGGCTGGGTTTCGCCAGCCACTCTGGGTGGCTCCCAACAGAATAATAATAATAATAATAATAATAATAATAATAATAATAAAGTGATAAAACATCAAACATTAAAAACTTCCCTAAACAGGGCTGACTTCAGATGTCTTCTAAAAGTCAAGTAGTTGTTTATTTCTTTGACATCTGATGGGAGGGCATTTCACAGAACGGGGGCCACCACTGAGAAGGCCCTCTGCCTGGTTCCCTGTAACCTCACTTCTCGCAGGGAGGGAACCACCAGAAGTCATCCCAAGAGATGGAAAAACCCAAACTCAACACATTTAAAGGTTGCTGAGGAATGAAATGATTCTGCGACGAGACACAGAGGAACTCAACCAAATATACAACAGAAGAAACCAATGAAAGCAGAACAAATGGCCAATCTCGTTACGGGCCGAGATGAGCAAAGGAAGTGGGTGGTCAAGGCTAAGGAGAGAGAGAGCTGAACATGGGAGAATTCCCTTCCCAAGAGGGAACAGCCTCAAGGACAGAGGAAGCTGTCGGCGGCCACCCACTTACCTCCGGAGGCTCTGCGGATTTGCAGGTTGACTGCCATCTTCACCATCTTCTGCAGGGTGATGCTTTGCTGCAGGGACCAAGCGTGACGGTAAAAGTGTCAGGAGGGGCAGGACTAGTACCAGCCCCCAGACCTCACTCTGGAGCTCAACGGGAGTCCCCTCTCCTGCTCTGCCCACATGCCCAAGAGGTGCCCGGCCTATTGTAATGCCAAGGGAATTTGTAGCCAAGGAAGCACGGCTGCTGCCCAGCACTGGAACAACACACCTGAGAGGCACTGGTGGGTGAGGCTGCATTCAAAGCTGCCTGGCAGCCCCTCCCCCTCACTGTAGGGGGCTGTGCTTGGGGGTTGAGGCTACCTATAGGGTTGCCATATGTCCAGAATTTCCCAGGCAGTGTCTGGGCGGAAATCAGCAAGACGTCTGGGAAAATCTGGACGTACAGGAACGGTTTTCCTTAAAAACAGCTCAAAAACATCCATTTTGCCAACAACTTTGTCCAAAAAGAAGCTCAACAACTCTTTGTGTCCGGATTTGAAATATGGCAACCCTACTCAAGGGCCCCCACCGCCCTTGTGCAACCGAGGCTGAGCCCACCTTCCTCGTCTCGTAGAGAGAGATCCCGATGGAGACCGCAGAAATGAGGAAGATGCAGGCAGCATAATAATAGTACTCGTCGAAGCTCCACAAGACGATGCTGAAAATCTGGAAGATGTAAAACGGGTTCAAGACCTGGAGTGGGGAGGACAGCAGAAAGGGAGGGCAGAGTTAATAATAAAACGTTTATCAGAAGATGCAAGGCCACTTGCAGGAAGCTGGGGGGGGCAGTCTGTGAGCTGGTGGCTGTCAGCACAGGGAGGAAACCCTCCCCATATGTTCCCCAGCTAAAAGCATTTTGTGGACCACACTGGAGCTCAGCTTCCTCAAAACCTAAGCTTCTGCCCCACTGAAGTGTGTTCTGTGAGGGCAGGGGAGGCCGTTCTCTATCAAATGACCCCCCCGGGCCAGAAAAGTATATCCGAATGGGCACTGCCAGCTTGTCTTGTCTAGGGACCCATTTTCCCAGGGAAGGAAAAGGTCTTCCCTTCCCCTCCCCATGCCCAGCAAACCAGGGTGAGACGGCCTCGGTCCAGTATACCTGAAGGAGCGTCTCCACCTCCATTGTTCTACCCAGACACTGAGGTCCAGCGCCGAGGGCCTTCTGGCGGTTCCCTCGCTGCGAGAAGCCAAGTTACAGGGAACCAGGCAGAGGGCCTTCTTGGTAGTGGCACCCGCCCTGTGGAACGCCCTCCCACCAGATGTCAAAGAGAAGAACTACCACCAAACTTTTAGAAGACATGTGAAGGCAGCCCTGTTTAGGGAAGTTTTTAATGTTTAAGCCGCCCAGAGTGGCTGGGGAAACCCAGCCAGATGGGCAGGGTATAAATAATAAATTACTATTATTATTATTATTATTATTATTATTATTATTATTATTATTACTATTACTATTATTATTATTATTATTATTATTATTATTATTTCCATAAAGGCAAACCTCATCTCTCAGCAGTCTGAAGTAAGAATTTACAGGTACATCAATCAGGTTCCGCCCGTAAATCTTTCTCCTGTCCAAGCAGAGGGTGAGGAGAGAAGAGAATGCACAGGTCAGTTTTGGCACAGGATCCAAAATATCACCAGATGTTCTGTGACTGGGCTGAGGGTCGTATCCGTTTGCATTTCTAGCCAACCCAACCTGGCTGGGGGAGCTGAGAGGCTCCAAGAAAACATCAACATCAACATCAAAGAGATATAAAGCGCTGCTTTTAAAAAAACATGGAAGAGCAAAACAAAAGAAACTAATCTACACCCCTTCCTAGCTCAGGCCTTGCCACAGGGAACCAGATCAAATAGATTTTGCAGCCCTTCTGACGGAGGTAGAGGCTTGGGTTGGGCTGCAGGGCCCAACAGGCCCTCAAAGGCAGAAATCCACCACAGCACCCATTCTGAACACTCTGAAAACACCTGAATATAAAAGGCTTTTTTTCCTGCCGAGTTTTATTGCGTGTGCCGACAAATGTTCAGTTAGTTGTTGTTTTATTGTGACTACAGCTTGTGTCAGTTTTAGACATTTTATAAGCCATTTTTATAAGAGTCGACAACACCCCGATGGTGAAATATACCTCTATAAAACAAAATAAAGCCCCTGTGTTTAAATTAGAGCATTAAGTGTGAATTGCTTATTTCATAGATTTAAGGAGGGATTTCAAAGAAATAATCAGTGTTACTCAAGCCAAGATAAATCTGCCTCTATTAATCGATCCCTCTTACCATCCCTTTCATTTCATTGCTGGTGGGGGGAGCAAATAGAGAATGCGGGCATTTGAACCAATAGCCTCTGAACCTTTTGGCAGAATCTGCTGTTTTCACAGGATCCGCAGTTGTGCAAAATTAAGAGTAAAATCCAGATTTCTGTGGTGCAAAAATCAGAGAAGCTTGGCAAATGAAAGACAGGTGGCGGCCCAGGGGCAGCTTTATGACCTTTTGATAGGCATCAGTGCTGCTCACACTCACCTGACAGCTTGCTCTTCAGCGCTTAGTCCACAGAGGGAGAGGTGGATATCTGAGAAGGTCCAGCCTTCATCCAACACACTGCAAAATACACAGAGACACAAAGAGACAGCCTGTATCTGCCAGCATCAGGTTAAAAACAAGCATTTCCTTATTTCGGAGCCCTGAGCTTCCATTGGCTAAGTTGCTGTGATGTCACAGAGGGTTGCATTCAATGCTTGGCTCACTCAGATCAGACTCGCTGAAGACACAACTAATTTAGGTTCTATAATTCCAATGGGTCTAATCAAAGTACAGTGGTAAAGGTAAAGGGACCCCTGACCATTAAGTCCAGGCGTGACCGACTCTGGAGTTGTGGCGTTCATCTCGCTTTATTGGCCGAGGGAGCCGGCGTACAGCTTCTGGGTCGTGTGGCCAGCATGACTAAGCCGCTTCTGGCGAGCCAGAGCAGCACACGGAGCCGTGGTGGCGCCGGAGCACGATTTCTGTTCTCATTCTGAACCAAAGTTCTTAACCAGAGGTACTATTTTCTGGGTTAGCGGAGTCTGTAACATGAAGCATATGTAACCCGAGATAGCCCACTGTATTGCTTAGCTGGATACATTCCAGAGTATTCTGGCAACCAACAGCAAACAACCAGTCATGGGACAGAACGTGCTAGAAGCAAAATGAAAAGCTAGAGGAAACTGCTACATACAAATTGCAGGAATCAAATCTGGGGCGAGGAAAATTTGCAGAGACCCATGCAAACTATACAATTTCGGCTGCTGGCAGCAGAAGAGGGAGCAAAGTCCCAGACTAGTACACCCCGAAGGCAGAGGCTTACCTGGCCTTGCAGAAGGCACCCCACTTCTCAATCCAGACATAGCGCAAACCTTCAAACTGGTAGTAGCGAAGGACGTTCTTCTGAAAAGATTTTTTAAAATGTTTTACTACTACTGTTAAAAACTTCAAGAAATATCAAGTATCGGAGATCAGTGTAAATGAAAACATGAGACTTATGGTTTTGTTACATATTATTTTATTTTGGAATTGTCTGCTTATTTTGGAGTTGTTTGTTGTAAAGAATGTATATTATGTGAATAAAATAAAAATAAAATAAAATAAAAACTTCATTTTATGCTCTTCTGGTCTCCTTAGCAATGTACGAGTGGGATGTCATTGTTCCCCTTTTTCTAAATGGAACCCGGAAGAGAGAGATGGATGCAAAGGCGGTGGGTGGGGCAAAGGGGGCACACAGACTGGCACAGAGGAGAAAGCAGGTCAAGAGTCAGGGGCTGCCAGCTGCAGGGAGCTCTGAGCAGCGTTTGAAATGAGCCGGGCACCTGTTGCATTTTGTGACTGGCAACCAGCCTTTTGCGATTGGATGGATGAAGATGTCCAGGCACGACCCTTGGCGCGAAGCATCTCCACCTGCCTGGCTGCAGTCGGCTGATCTGACACGTCTTTTTTGCTGCCATGCTGACGTATGAATCAGCTGTTGAGACTCCCTGATTCACCCGGCAGCAAAAAAAACCACAAAACCATATTTTTCGCTCTATAAGATGCACTTTTCCCCTCCTAAAAAGTAAGGGAAAATGTGTGTGCGTCTTATGGAGCAAATGCAGGCTGCGCGGCTAAGCCAGAACAGGGAGAGGGAGCGCTGTGCAGTGCTCCGTCTCGCTGTTCTAGCTTCTGGCTTAGCTGCACAAAGTCTCTGCAGGGCAGCGCTCCGTCTCGCTGTTCTGGCTTTTGGATAGCCCCTGCGAAGCCTCCGTAGGGCAGCGGGACGAAGGCTCCCAGCTGTCCTGCGGAGGCTTCGCACGGCTCTTGTGGGAAGTGGGAGGAAGGGACGGAGCGTGCGACTCTGTCCCTTCCCCCACCTCCCAGAAAAGCCCCCAAGAACCATGCTCCCTTTAAAGAGCGTGCGGTTCTTGCGGGAGATGGGGGAAGGTACAGAGGGCAGCTTAGCCGCACGCAGCCTCTTCCGGGCAGGGGGAGCCTTCATCCCGCTGCCCGGGAGAGGCTTCAGCGGCTATCCCAGAAGCCAGATCCCTCTTGCTGTTCTGGCTTCTGGGATTCAGAATTTTTATTTTTTTCTTGTTTCCTCCCCCCAAACTAGGTGCGTCTTATCGTCTGGTGCGTCCTATAGAGCGAAAAATATGGGACTTCCGGGTTGGTGCCTCCGGCAATGTCGGAATTCCTCTGATCGGGAGGAATTTGCCCCGTGGGAATTTGGGTCTGTACCGCCAAGGCGAAGGCGGAGACCCGTAAAAATCACAGGCGGGAGAAGCCTGTGAACGTGGGATTCGGCGGGCACCTTTTGCGCCTCCCCTACTCGCGGGGAAACCCGGTTTCGGGGATCCGGAGCGACGTGGGGTGAGCGGCGCGGTGCTTCGAATCGTCTGCTTCTTCCACGGAGCGAAGCCGCGTAGCTGTTGCCGGAGAGCACTGACTTTTTCCTGTGGACAATTTGACTCCAAAGTAATTACCTGTGAGTAGAGCTGAAGCGGGAGAATTGGATTTTAAACGTTTAATTTGGCATCGAAATGGGGAGGTTCAATACAGGAAGTCCTCCTTCCCTATTTGTAAATAGACTGAGGCAAGGAGGCTGCAAGCTGAAGTCTTGGAAAGCCTTTTGTAAAAGACTAAATTTCCATCAGTAAAGAGCATAAAACCCCCCTTGGAGGCAGGAGAAGAGGGGGGGAAGTTGCGGACTGAGTATGCCTGCAGGAGAGAGTGAAGAGAGTTAAAATACCGCCGCTCTGACCCTGGAAATGGGCTGCTAGCAGGACTGACGTTTTGGAATGTTCATTGACAGCACTCAGAACGTTCCTTGACAGCTAGCAAAATAAGAGAGAGACATTGTTTCTACTGTCTCCGGCTGCTTCTAAAAAGGAGTAAAAAGTAACTGAAAACTGAAACTAACTTTGGATTGTATGAGTTGCGTTTAAATGGGACATTGTTGACTATTATAAATAGAAACTGTTTTCCCCTAGTGGAAGTCTCTGAAATTGGTTGCTTTATAAGAGCTGGGCTAGGGGAATTTCCAGCTGCAAGATAAAAAATTGTGAGACTCTGGGATTGACCTTGAATCTCTTAAGTGTTATGGCAAATGGAAAGGAAAAAAGAGACGAAATGTCGACAGAAGAGGCCTTAGTGGTTGCATTAGTGAAAATAAGTGATTCGCTGGAACAGCTTCACAAGAAAACAGACGTGATAAATGTGAAAGTGGACGCTGCAAATATTAAAATCGACTTAATTGTAGAAAGTTTAAATAATCTGGGACAAAAGGTGAACACCAACACAGAAACCATCCAGAAATTGATACAGGAATCTACTTTGATACGGCAAACTGCGGATGAAGTCAGGGAGAAAACCCTTGCTGCTGAATGTAAAGCAATACAACTGGAGAGTGAGAGAGTCCCATCCATTCAAAGGCAACTCGATGAACATAAGCTGACATTTGTTATGATGGAACTTAAAGAAAAACAGATGAATTTGAGGACCAGAGCCCTACCTGAATTGGGAAACGAAAGCTTGACAGAGTTTCAGGAGGAGACAGGACTAACATCGGTTGAGAAAGAGAGGTATTTGGGGGTTAGTATGACCACCAAAAATGTGAATCTATTCAAGGATAACTGTGAAGGACGTTGGATTGAAGAGAAGGGGGATTGGGACATATGGACAAATCTGAAGTTGTTATTGTTGGGCCGAGTTGTTGTGGTGGGGATGAGGGTTGCTGTGTTGCCGGGGATGTTGCTTTTGTTTCAAACAGTGCAAGTTTTGGATGGGATGGATTGTTTCAGAAGGTGGCAGAGGGATGTTTCTGGATTTGTTTGGCAGGGCAGGAAGCCTCGTGTAAAATTTAAGACATTGACGGATGCCAAAGAAGGAGGTGGACCTGCCCTGCCAGACCCCTAAACTTTGTTGTGAATCATCTGCTTTTTGCTGGCTGAGAGAATGGCTGCTTCTTGAAAGCACTGAAGTGTTGGATAATGGCAGATGAAGTTGATGGACTATATGGAATTGGCGGAAAAGACTGGCAAGATCCGAGACCAGGGAGAAGAGTCGGTGGAAGAAGACTGGGAAAAGTTTAAAGACTATTTATAGAAATATTGTAAAATTAATGAATGTTAGAAGAATGTTGGAATGAAGTTATATGGCTTTAGTAGAAATGTTATAAGGAATTAAGTATAAATAGATGAATAGATTATTAAAGGAAAAATAAGGTTAAAATGTGTTAAGATAATTATAGGATAGAAAACGGGAAGATGGAAAGGAATTGCTGAAATAATTAATAGAAGTGGAATACAAAAAGGGAGGTGTGAGGAGGCCGTGGAAATATGTGAAAGAAAAATAAGATATTGAAATTTTTTTTTTTTATTTTTTTTTGATGTGTTTTTAAATTGTTTTTGTTTTGTCTTGTTAGTTTAATGTTTTAGTGTTATGTAGTGTTTTTGTAATGTACTGTTTTTTCTTTGTTGTTGTTTTTTGTAAGTGTTTAAATTGTTGTAAAAGTAATAAATATAATTTTTTTAAAAATAGAGCGAAAAATATGGTATATATATTTTTAGAAGGCGACTAGACATTCTGATTTGGCACCCACAACCCAGGTCCCAGGAGCCATTTGGCTCCTGGCTTTTCTATCCCAGTTTCTAACACTGGGGTTGTCTTGAGAGAGGTTTGGCATCTCAGAGGGCAGTCTTGGGCAAGTCTCTCTTGTTCCCCACTGTCGCTCTCAGACTAGACTACTGTGCAGGGTTCAAGCTGAGATAAGAGCATATTTAAATATAGAACCTAGAGGCACTGGGAAGCCCATCTGAGTTTTCTGGCTCACATACATGCCTGTGAGGCGGTGCGGCTTGGGGTTCCAGGAAAACGTGGGAGGATACTTGGAGGTTTTCCAGGGACCTATGCAGCTGGGTCAGGCAGACCGAGAGGTTCATGGGATGCAAGGGACTGAACTGACCTCCTCCTTCCGATGGAGCCCAATCGTGTCTCGACTTTCATCTTCATCCTCAAACACGCCCACAGCGATGCTGTCTCCTCCACCGTCTCTTCTGTACTCAAGGCTTTGCAGGAAGAGGGGGGGAAAGAGGCAAAGGAAACAGCACATAGCTTAGACCTCAGTTTGAATCTCATCCTCTTCAAAGAGGAGGGTTTAGCCTCCAAACGCATTTTCTCCTAAGTAAGTCCCAGTCATGCTGAAGCATGCAAAGTCGTAACAAAAGAGAGAGCGCCTCTCTCAGTATGGGCTGAATGACTTCCCCATTCAACCTGGATCTGGACATCGTTTTATCAATGTAAACAAGGCTTCAATGGGGAGGCGGTGTTAGAAATTAGCCAGGCTCCAGGCACGTTTTGCAACTGGCACGGGTCCAACTGCAACCACGTGGAGATCTCTGGATGCTGTGGGAATTTTCAGGGATGCAGGAGAGGATATATTGTCTGATTATATCCTTATCCGACTTGTGTTAACAAGTTCCACAATTTCAGCAGAGTAACATTCCCCTTAATTTTAAGTTTGCAACAGATGCGTTTTGCTCAGGCTCGCTAAAGCCTCTATAATAACTGTTCTGGTAAAAGGTAAAGGTAAAGGTACCCCTGCCCGTACAGGCCAGTCATGTCCGACTCTGGGGTTGCGCCCATCTCGCTTAAGAGGCCGGGGGCCAGCGCTGTCCGCAGACACTTCCGGGTCACGTGGCATTTCCCCCTTATTCCCTCATAAAATAAAAGAGACGACACAGTCTTCTACAAAAGTATAAAAAGAGTTTACTGACATTCTGTTCACAATCAGATCCCAGAAGGCAGACTTAGCTTAATGAATCTATCTCTTAAGAAGACAGTCCCTTTGTCCTCTCTTGGCTGGAACCCAACAGAGCATCTTTGGCTCAGTAGATATTGTTTCTTCGATGCATGTGGTGAAAGAGAGATGGCTGCCCTGCCCTGTGCTTTTGTCATTACCTGCACAGGTGAGGCCACACCCACCTCTAGTCACATGCATAGGAAGTCTGTCCCAGCCCAGAAGGAAACAGGAAGTTTACCTGCTGGCTGGACAAACATCCCTCCCCATGTGTAAACATGTTCACTCTAGGAATGTTGTACTTGACTGCTCTTGTGTTTCACATCGTACAGATGCCAGGTTGCCAACTGGGGAAAGCAAAACGTCACTTAATCAAGGATCTGAAATATTTTCCTTGACACGTGAATTTGTTTTATCCTTGCTTGTTTTAAACCACTTTGAGATTAGTTCTTTAAAATAGAAAGTGGTATAGAAATGATGATGATGATGATATCCCGGGGGGGTGGGGGGGAGAACTAGGCAAACTAAGGCCCGGGGGCCGGATCCGGCCCAATTGCGTTTTAAATCCAGCCCGCGGATGGTCTAGGAATCAGCGTGTTTTTACATGAGTAGAATGTGTCCTTTTTAAAAAAATGCATCTCTGGGTTATTTGTGGGGCATAGGAATTCATTCATTCCCCCCCAAATATAGTCCAGCCCCCCACAAGGTCTGAGGGACAGTGGACCGGCCCCCTGCTGAAAATGTTTGCTGACCCCTGAACTAGACATTCCATTGTGGCAACCATAATCTAGGTTAAAGGTGCTATTTGGCGATTATGACTATATATCTGAGTTTCTAACACTGTGGAGAGGGTCTTTTACAGGGTGGGGTGAACCCACTGGAAGTTGGAACTGCTGCAATGCCATTTATACGTTTCAGGTCTGCATTTGCAAGGCCAAAGGCCCACAGTTTGGACACTTATTGTGGGGCACACCTCTGACCCACAAACAGTTTGCATGTCCCCCCAGCCCCTTTCTGATTCATTCATGTCTTCTGCAAATTCAAGACCAGGCGAGAGTGGCCCCCAACGCCTCCACTCACCTGCCTTCTACCATCTGCTCTGTTCGGACACAGGCTGTGAAATACTGGCCAAATTGGTCCTGGAAGAGAAGCACAGAGGGCACTTGGCTCAGCTGTGGGGAAAGAGTTTGGCTCACAGAATCAAAGAAAGGAGAACAGGACTGAGGTGCTGGCCCTAATCCTGATCAAACAGCTAGCCAGTTCTTTCCTGGGGGGCTTGACACCTGCAGCTGTAAACCTCCCAGACACCTGAAATCATAGAATGGCAGAGTTGGAAGGGACCTCAAAGGTCATTTAGTCCAACCCCACTTTGGAGGGCGTCAATCTGCAACTCACCAAACCAAACACAGCTCACAGGACATGTACAGAGTGTTGATACCCCCTCCCCACAAAAAAAACTCTTCAATTTCCAGACAGGCAGCAAAGAATTGCTTGTAATGTGTGGGGTTTTTTACGGGTTTTAGTACCTTTTTGAATATTTTTGAATTGCATGGATTAAATCTGCTTTATTGTGCTTTTTAAATTTGGGTTTTTTTATTGAAAGGCAGAGTACAACTCCCTCAAACAAAGGAAGCTCAGAATTGTTGAGCCCCTCAAGGGCCACATTCCGCATGGAGAGGGGTCAAGACTTGGACAAGCTGACTGAACTGCCTTGAGGCTTCAGGGTTTTCAAATGTGGCCCTCAAAGGAGGTTACCATCTCGCCATGGAACAAAAGGCTCAATCTGCAGCATGCCACCATCGTGGGAAATTGCAGTCAAGCATAACTAGCAACTATAGGGCTAGTTAGTACATGAAGGGGTTAAGACAATAGAGCTGTGTTCCTAGACTCAACTAGGTCACGCGCCCTCAGAAATGAAGCTTTCTACTTCCTTTCTCTCTCTTTCTGCACCATGTAACCAATGAAGGAGAACATGTGTAAGTTTACTCCCAAGCTTAGAGCACATGTTTGGAACCATATTCTGTATTTTCTACTCAAGAGTATTTGGCTGATGTTCTCCTTGAAGCTGCATGGAACAACACGTGTTTCAGACCTTTGAATCTGTAAGTAAGACATTTTAAACTTACTTAGTGTGGCCTGTTCCTTGAAAAGGGGGTAGAAAAAGGGGAGCATCATGAATGGGATAAAAGGGTCCAATGACCTATATTCCTGACACTGTACTGCTGCGCAAGTTGTGACTTGATTTTAAACTCTGCTGGGGCTTTCTGTGTGCTAGCCCCACGTTTTGAATCTAGGCACCCAGCCATTTCTTTTGTTATTCACCCCCCACACTTGAGTCCATGGGGATTCATATATTTAATTCCCCTATAACCAGCACACTTGGTCATTTCTGAAAATGTGACATTTGGGGTACAAATGGCGAAAGTGTGCCTGCACACCTGCTCCATCGCACCACCCCTTCTTTCCCCAGCCTTTTCCCCTCGCCACCCGCCAATTCCACTCACACGGATGACCACCCAGTCAGCTTGGTGGAGAGGGCAGCGGCTGCATTTGGCCCGGACTTTGAAGTGTGGCTTCCAGTGGAAAACTATCAGTGGGATTCCCAACGTCAGCAGAGAGAAAAAGTGGCAGAGGATGATCTTCCATGTTTTGCTTTGGTAGCCTGTGACTTCCTGGGGGCAGAACAAAAACAGGCGTTTTAGGCCCATGCCAATTATGACCTCCGCAAACACACACAGAAGAGGGAGGGGGGACCCTTGCAATTTAGAAAGGTGCATTTGAGAGACCCCAGGCATCCTCCTCCTGAGATGGGGAATGACTTCTCTCGCCCAATTAAATGGTATCTTGGTCAAATCGCAGTGAAGATAGCAGCTTACAAAGAATTCTACTGCAACCTAGCACAAGGGTTGGCAACTGGAGGCCCTCAGGCCAAATCTGGCCACCTGAAGGGATGTGAATTGACAGTCCAAGTTGCTAGCCTGATGGCAAAAGAGCGAAGTGGTTCCCATGGCAACAAAACCTCCTTTGGGGAAGGACCAGGTATACTGCACTTGTCCCCGCCCCATCTCCTTCCCTCACTTATCCACGTGGCTTTCCAGGCAACTTTGTTGTTGATAATAATAATAATAATAATAATAATAATAATAATAATAATTTATTATTTATACCCCGCCCATCTGGCTGGGTTTCTCCAGCCACTCTGGGCATCTTCCAACAGAACACTAAAATACAATAACCTTAAAACATTAAAAGCTTCCCTAAACAGGGCTGCCTTCAGATGTCTTCTAAAGGTTTGGTAGTTATTTTTCTCTTTGACATCTGGTGGGAGGGCGTTCCACAGGGCGGGTGCCACTACTGAGAAGGCCCTCTGCCTGGTTCCCTGTAACTTGGCTTCTCACAGCGAGGGAACCGCCAGAAGGCCCTCAGCGCTGGACCTCAGTGTCTGGGCAGAACAATGGAGGTGGAGATGCTCCTTCAGGTATACAGGACTGAGGCCATTTAGGGCTTTAAAGGTCAGCGCCAACACTTTGAATTGTACTCAGAAATGTACTGGGAGCCAGTGTAGGTCTTTCAAGACCGGTGTTATATGGTCTCGGCAGTCGATCCCAGTCAACAGTCTAGCTGCCGCATTCTGGATTAGTTGTAGTTTCCGGGTCACCTTCAAAGGTAGCCCCACATAGAGCGCATTGCAGTAGTCCAAGCGAGAGATAACTAGAGCATGCACCACTCTGGTGAGACAGTCTGCGGGCAGGTAGGGTCTCAGCCTGCGTACCAGATGGAGCTGATTAACAGCTGCCCTGGACACAGAATTGACCTGTGCCTCCATGGACAGCTGTGAGTCCAGAATGACTCCCAGGCTGCGCACCCGGTCCTTCAGGGGCACAGTTACCCCATTCAGGACCAGGGAATCCTCCACACCCGCCTGCCTCCTGTCTCCCAAAAACACTACTTCTGTCTTGTCAGGATTCAACCTCAATCTGTTAGCCACCATCCATCCTCCAACCGCCTCCAGACAGGGTTTAAGGACCTTTAAGAATGACGCAGCAGAGGCAAAATGAGATCTGCCCTTGATTCTCTCTCCCATAACCAACAGGCCTCACCCCCCCCACCCTGTACTTACCATGCAGGTATTAGGGGGGCTCTGGTTGAGGGTGCAGTAGCCGAGTCGCCGGCCTCCCAGCAGCCTCTTGGTGTCTGCAATCAGAAAGAGAACGAGATCAGGGCAAAATTATGCTCCTAAATGCGGGACAAAGGCATAAAGGTGCTTCATCCTGCTGTGGCTGAAATCCCAGCCAGAACGGCTCTGGGGTCTTTCATTCTGGGAAAGGTAAAGAGTAAAGGGACCCCTGACCATTAGGGCCAGTCATGACTGACTCTGGGGTTGCAGCACTCATCTTGCTTTACTGGCCGAGGGAGCCGGTGTACAGCTTCCGGGTCATGTGGCCAGCATGACTAAGCCGCTTCTGGCGAACCAGAGCAGCACACGGAAACGCTGTTTACCTTCCCGCCGGAGTGGTACCTATTTATCTACTTGAACTTTGACGTGCTTTCGAACTGCTAGGTTGGCAGGAGCAGGGACCAAGCAGCGGGAGCTCACCCCGTAGCAGGGATTCAAACCACCAACCTTCTGATCGGCAAGTCCTAGGCTCTGTGGTTTAACCCACACCGCCACCCGCGTTCCTCTCATTCTGGTAAGTGGTATGTAATTTTTGCTTGCTTGTTTATTGAAAGCTGCCCCTGCTCCCTCTCCCTGGTAAAGGAACCAAGGTCTCGGGAGAGCTGTAAAATAAATGAGTTATGAAGGAGAATGAGTGGGTCTGAATGAACAGGGAGAAGAGCAAAGATCTTGAAAGCCCCGTTTCAATTAGCTTGGAGAGCAGCTGAGGTCTTGCAAAGCCCTTGCAGCCAATCACACACACTCTGCTCGTGCAAAGACACCCTGTTACTCAGAAAACTTGCAGCAAAGGCAATGCTAGTCCATATTTTCTTTTCTTTCTTTCTTTTTTCCAATTTTTTTATTGATTTTCCAAATTTATAAACAAGCAAACAAACAAACATAAATCCTAACTATAATTATTCCGCTATTATTAACATTGTTAAGTGACTTCCTCGAATCCCCCTGGCTGAATTTCAATGTACCGAATTTTTTACTCTATAAGACTCACTTTTCCCCTCCTAAAAAGTAAGGGGAAATGTGTGTGTGTGTGTGTGTTATGGAGCGAATGCAGGCTGCGCAGCTATCCCAGAAGCCAGAAGAGCAAGAGGGATCGCTGTGCAGCGATCCCTCTTGCTGTTCTGGCTTCTGAGATTCAGAATATTTTTTTTCTTGTTTTCCTCCTCCAAAAACTAGGTGCGTCTTATGGCCTGGTGCATCTTACAGAGCGAAAAATACAGTATATCATTGTAACAGTTTTCCAAAACTAATTTCTCATAAAATTTACTTAACCAATTAACATCTTTCTTACTTTTCATATTATCTTTAAACGTATTATTCTATAACATCACATATTTAAATCCTAAGCCAATCTGGTATTTGCAAGTATTTCTATTTGCAAATCTTAACATATTTAACTAAATATTCTTTAAATTTCATCCATTCCTCCTGGTACTCCTCCTCCTTCTGGTCGCGGACTCTTCCGGTCAGGTCGGCTAGCTCCGAAAAGTCCATCATCTTCATCTGCCATAGTCCACATTTTCTCCAATTCCTTCATTGACTATTACTCCTTATTTCGGAAGGTGGGGTCTTGGGACAAAGGCGGAAGAGCTTGAGTGAAGCTGCCTGGCCTTCCAGCCAGTCTTGACCCAGCAGACCTCCGCCTTTCACCAGCTCTCACCCTCTCACAAAAAGGCTGTTGGGATGCTCTTACCTTCTTTGGGGGCTGACCTGCTCCCACCCCAAATCCCTGCTTACTTGTTTCTCCTGGGGTTCTGTCCTGTTATTCCAAGGGAAGACGTGGCCGAGCTGCACCTGAGGCTGTGCTACCTATCCGCCACCAGCCCCACCCCTTTCCCAAACATGGTTGCAGGAAGCAGCAGGCTGGCACCGGGCCAGGGGAGCGCCAAGTTGCTCCGCAGATTATCTTTGCCATTTGCTGTCGACAGCCGGCTGGCTGGCTTGCCCTGCTAAGGGAGCTTGCACACCTGACGCACCCACAGAGCAGGAAGCTCAGGTCAAAAGCCACACAGTTGACCGGGCACGACGACGCCAGCCAGCTCCCTAAATGCTACAGCAGTGACCAAACCGGTTTCATCAGGTGGAATTTTCCAAATGAGCAAAATGGGCAGAAAGTGTTATGTGCAAAGCAGTGGTGTGTACCCGGGGAGAGAGAGGAAAGAGCAGGTAGGAGGAGGGGTTTGGAGGAGAGTCTTTGGCAGGGGCAGTTGGCCCTTTCAGAAATGCCCTCTTCTGATAAAGGTAAGCAGGTGCGCCTCCAGAATTTGGTGGTGTGTGGGAACACAACAGGGGACCGAAGTGGCCCCATGCTTGTCACAGTCTTTTTCTTCCTCAGCACTAAAAAACCCTCCAGAGCCGTGTTTCCCCAAACGTGGGTCTCCAGCTGTTTTGGGACTACAACTCCCATCTTCCCCTAGCTAACAGGACCAGCAGTCAAGGATTATGGGAACTGTAGCCCCAAAACAGCTGGTGACCCAAAGTTTGGGAGACACTGCTCTAGAACAAGAGGAGGCAACCAGCCATAGGTGCAGGGGGCAGAACTGCAAAGGCAAGCGGAGCCAGGAAGATTCTCCGCACACATGTGCCTGTTTACCAGCCAATTAATCTTATTAAAACATTATGAATCCCTGCTGAGCTGCAACAGGCGTCCACTATTTGTACTTTCAGGAAACAATTGAAGACATCCAGCTAAGTAAAAAGGTCTCTGGTGTAGGTGCTCTTATTTATTTTTTTTGCTATTGTTTTAAAACCTACATTTGGTTGTCTTTTGTACTGGGTTTTAAATTACTTTGGGTTGCTGTTTTAGGAGATTCCTAAATTAATAGATCATTAATTTATTAATAAATTATTATTAATCATTATCTTTTAAATTGTATTTTAATCAACTTGTTTTTATTATTGGTTGTTAGCCGCCCTGAGCCCAGTCTTGGCTGGGGAGGGTGGGGTATAAATAAAAATTTATTATTATTATTATCCGGAAGCTTGGCTCCAGTCTTTATACTTTATTAACATTTTGTTATCTTTTAGGTGGAAGCAAAGTCTCGCTGCAGATTCACATTCACAAGGATGTCCACAATATAGATTTGGGTGGATTTTTTAAAAGCAACATTCTCCCCTGAAACATGGTCAGAGGACATCTCTCCCTCCAATTCCTCCCCTCCCCTCAGCTCCAAAAGGGAGGTGAGCTGGAGAGCCACCATGGTGTTGTCTGCCAGCTAGGTCCCCAGCCCCTCTCCCCCCTCCTACAAAAGCTGTGACAGGGTGCACAAAAGGGGTCTGGAAGCCCCCTGCAGGATTCCACCAACGCACTGGGGCTGGGGACTTGTTTGCTGAAGATGCCTTGCCAAGAATCTGTACCCTTTTGCTAGTAGACTGCCTTTATTCAGACCTATCTCAAACTACAGTACTTTGGATACCTGAAGGTATTTCTGTCTTCGATATTTAGGCATTCATTCAAAACTGAGTTCCCACATTTGATGCCAGTCAAACGGTTTCAGAGGCACAGAGTCTAAAACACTGAGAATGTGAGGTTCTTAGTTTTGAAGTGCCACATCAAAATTTGAATTTCCGATTGGAAATCTGGGTGTTCTGCATGTTGTTCAGTGAGGACCATGTGCTGCTTTAATAGCTATGAATATTATTGATGGGGAAAACCACAGCTGAAGGAGAAACCGGTTTGCTCACTGAGGCAGAGATTTTGCTTGTGCATTGCTGGTGGCAGATTCCTGAGACCCTGGACGGTGGGCTGAATGAAGTTAGCTCCTTCTTTCATTACTGTCACCATGCCTGTTAGGGAGGAGGAGGGCAGGGAAGCACTGACAAGCCCACTGAATGTGGCTTCCTGCAAAAAGCAGCTGCCCCTTTTGAAAGAGCATGTTCCTAGCCCTCATGATTTGCTTGAAAGGGCAGCATCAATCATTGCTGGAATCGCAGGAGTTGGTGCAAAAGGCCTTTATGGGGTCTCCAGCAGTTTTAGAGGCGACAGAAAGTTCTTAGTGAGCAGCAGTGTTTGAAATTAGCGGCCAAGTGAAAATGCCAGGGAGCCAGGATGGCACCAGATATCTCCACTATCTGAGGATCATTGGACCTGGACTGTTTTCACACACTAATACCCCATCCTGTAGAATTCTATCAGTTATATTTTATTTGCACGATTGGAATGATTTTCTGGAACCAAAATGCTTTTTCTGTGCAGCCTGAGCAGGAGCAGTCACCATTAAGAAAAAGAGGTCAGAACAGGCCAATAGATACGTGGGCTGTCCCTGGATCAAGTGACTTATTCTTCTTTCAAACTTCAAAGCTCTTAACCTAGCTTAAGGATCTCATCTGAACGAACCAGACATTTAATTGAGAATCATTCAGTGTCAGCCCATCATTTGAAAAACAAGACTTTAGAGCCGTCTTGGTCAAAAATGGCAACTAGACATCCAGTTTTGGCAACGGCATTTGCTCAACACATTTTCTTTTCCAGGGCAGAGTTTGTAACACACAGCTGGGCCCATCACAAACAACTTTCTTTCCCCCTTTCTCCCTCAAGCCAAGATGGTCCCTGTGACATTCTCTGCTATGCAGCCTTATACAATCCCAGTCACAAGACCCACTTTCCACCCCGCTCAAGGCATAAGATGGCCCAGAACCTTCCACAAATCAGTCTCGCTCATGTCTTTCCTGCAGAGACTGTCCCAGAGGCCCTTCTGGGTGGGGATTGGAGGGGCCAAAGCCCCAAACGCCAACTTGCCATTGCCTCAGCAAGAGTCTCTGTGGTGTCCACTTCTACCTTCAGAATGGCAACTGGGGCCTCCCCATTAAAGAAGACTGATTTGGGAGCCTGTGTGTGTGAGAGAGACTGAGAGAGAGGGAGGGAGGGAGGAGGACAGGGAGCGGTTGCTGCCAGTCTGCGTTTCACAGGGTGTAAAAAAAGAATCAAAAAGAAGACAGACCCCTCTGGTGCTCAGATGAAGCAACTCATAGAGAAGGATAACAATCACAATAGGCAGGATAGCTGCATTAACCTCCGGAATCAGAAGCAGCAGTCTTTCCAGTTGCTGCAAAGTGATGGTGGGGAGATGATGCTCAGGCCCTGCCGCTCGCCACTGGGGCATCTGAATGGCCACAGCGGGAACACAATTACTGAATTATTATTTATTAAATTTATATACCACCTTTGGTCCAAAGATCACAGGCGTCATCTAGTCCAACCCACTGCAATGCAGGAATCTTTTACTCAACGTGGGGCATAAAACACAAAATGAATATAACCACCACCAGACTAGAGGGGGGCCCTTGGGCCTGATCCAGAAGCTCTCTGCGCTCCCAACTGTAAACCTCCTCCTCCCAATAGAAAAACTATAGATTATTCTTTTAAACCTTCGTCCTTTATAAACTCGGCCCCCCCTCCCCCCGCGGTTCAGTCCTTGGCTCCCTATAAGCCCCACTTTGCGTAACTTCAGAAACTTTCCCTTTCTCCCCCTCCCCTCAAAAAAATAAAACCGCTCACTGAGGCGAAAGAAAATGAAAGAAAGAGGAAAGTCAGCAGTTTCGGGGAAGGTGGGAGGACGTGGGGCAGCCCAGGCTGGTCCGGGGGTGGGGGGCACGCCTGTGTCTGCCTCGCCATGTGCCCCCCTTCTCCTTCCCCGACCCCGTCAACAGCAGCAGCAGCTGTCCCTTCCTGGGCCGACCTTGCAAGGAGCGCCCCGCACCTGCTCCCTTCCGTGGCGCCCCCCCCCCAGGGAGCCCCCCTCAATCCCAGGGAAAGGGCGAGACCCCCCTTCTTTCCCCCCCCTTTCCCTGCCTCGCCGGGAGGCTCACCTGAGCTCATGGCCCCCCTCCACGAGGAGGAAGTGGAAGTGGAGCAGCGCCGCAGCCGCAGCCGCCTCCTTCCCGCGCGCTGCCCGCCAGCGCGAAGCAGCTGCAGCTGACGGTCCGGGGCCGGCCAGCTGGAGGGGCGGGGCCTAGCGCAAAGGCTGCCGGGAGTCGTAGTTCCTCCCCTCAGGGGCTGAAGTGGCGCCCCTTCCCCAGGTTTCCCCCGGTATCGGGGACCAGGCGGGCCCAAGAACACCCGTCGCGATTTCCACATTCCTAGCCTCGTTTTAAGATAAATTCCACCCCTCACAACACATACATATTTGTTAAAAGAGAGGGTAATTTAAGCTGCAGTTTTTTTCCAGGTCCAGAGGCGCCAAGCCACGGCAGAGAGTAAAAAAGTGCTGTAAATAAAAAGGGCAGCGCGGCTTGTTTGGAAGGGGGCAGGTTGTTGGGTCAGGGTAACGCATCTTGATTCGCATGCCGTCAGCTGAACACAACGAACCTTCCCATCTCTTACAGGGCCAATACAAATTACTATATAAATAAAGGACCGACCCACGAGGCGCTGATGCAAAAACACTATGCAACAGAATGGAAAGATCAATAATCTCCTCCTTAACCCTCTCCCCACCCCCCCACCCCACTTCAATGTCTAGGACAGTGTTTTTCAACCACTAGTGTGCCGCGAGATGTTGCCTGGTGTGCCGTGGGGAAAATTGAAAAATTTGAAAGATTTTTTTTTTAAAAAAAATGTCAAATTTTTGCCCACAGGCGGTCCGCTCTCATCCGATTCCCCATAGAGAGCAGCGGGGCTCTGACATCTCCCTCTCTGCACACAGTGGTGGTGTGCCTCGTGATTTTTTTTCATGAAACAAGTGTGCCTTTGCCCAAAAAAGGTTGAAAAACACTGGTCTAGGACAATAGCGTCTGTGAAAAACGGACTGTGAAAAAGACTATGAATTGAAAGTGGATACTCTATGTACCTTTCCTTGCTCATTTATTTTATTTTATTTTTTGTATCACAAAAAATCTTGAATAAAAAGTAATTCCAAAAATTACATGAATAAAAGAGCAGCTTGGATCACCAGGCCCAGCACCAACTGCTCTGTTCAGGCCCCTGGAAATCTTTGAAGGGGTGGGAGCCAAGAAAAACCACACAGAGAAGTCCCTCTGGAAGACCAGAAGAGAGCATGATAGTGGGGGGCTTGCCTCCTCTTAGGAGTGGGGGGCTTGCTGTCAGATCCAGTGGGGGCAGGTGAACAGCAGGGAGAGAACAGCCATCCTTTTTCGCCTGGTTGGGGCAAGCGAAATCCTTCCCCCAAAGCTCAGCCTGAGTGGAGAAGACAAGTCAGCCCCACCGGCCAGCTAAGTCCACACACCGTCTTTGAAAAGCCAGGCCTGCCTTTACATCAGCTGGCTCGCCCAGAAAGGAGGAGGCCATGCGACACTCCAGAAAGCACATAGGCTCTGGCCTCTGGAAGTGGCCACCTCGAGAGCTGAAGAGAAGCCCATGGGGTCCTTCGGACCAGCTGCTGTCTGAGCAAGACTCACAAACATCAAGGTGAAGGTCTTTTCCACAGAGGCCTCAAGCAGTGTGTGCTTTGGGGTAGATGTTCTTGAACCACTTGCAATTTGACCGATGGCAACATAGAGGAAGAACAGGAGCCCCCAAGGAAACAATATGGAAGCTTTAGGGGCAAGGACGGATTTGGGGCTCCCAGTTGTGGGGGAAGAGGCTGCCATAATAAAACACTGCTTCTCATCGCAGAGCCTACAGAAGGTTGGAAGCAGCCCCACATTGCTACCTTCAAGCTATGCTCACTCTTGCCCAACCTTCCTGTCCCCTTTGGGACCATTCTGTACAAACCCAACCCCCCCCAAAAAAATACCTTCAGTCTGCAAGCAGGAGACAGAGAGAGGGGACCAGTCTAAGGACACAGGGTGGGGAGGAAGGTGAATTGAGCGAGAGAGAGAGATTTGCTAATGACTTTTATTAGTCCTTGCAAGCTTTCATCGTACATGAATGCCCGTGGAGAAAACCCACACAAACCGGGCAGGGCCTGAAACCGCAAATATAAGTTAGCTAACTTCCGGCAAGGGGAGCTGTGGAGCAAAGGCCCTGAAGGGATGTCAGGCGCTGGCTGCCTTTTCCTTGTAGGTGGCCATCATCTTCTTGATCTCAGCAATCGCTTTTCCAGGGTTCAGCCCCTGAAACAAGAACAGGAAAGGTGGGAAAAGTCCTTCAACTGCTAGTGCAACCCAATTGCCAAGTCCGGCACAAGAAGACAACGTCTGCTCATCCAAGAGGCAAATGTGACAGCAGGTAGGGAGCTCCCTTCATCCCTTTGCACAATAACTGGCAGACAAGGAGAGAAAAGAGCCCTCAAGGTGCTGCTGGAATATGATTCTCACCTGCAAAAGTCCATGACCACCAGCCCTGCTGACTGGCATGATGGGAGGGCAGCAACACCCCGAGTTCCCCATCCTGGCCGCCATCTGCCCCTGACCCACATGGACTGAGTCACCCATTTCCAGAGGCTGCCCTCCCCCCAAGAAAACACAGCAGAGCAGCCTGCGGAAACAAGCCCAGAACAGCCGCACAGAGTCAGTACCTGCTGGACTCCCAGGGAGCCGGAAGCATCCCAATGTCCTTCTCAAAGTGTCCCAATAGCATTTCTGGCCAAGCCCCTGGGGGAAGGGGGAGAGAAACAACGGCCAGCTTCTTCCCTCCCCTCCATTCCCCCAGGGGTGAGGGGGGAGAGCCCTCACCTTGGGGCAGGTCTTTGTGCAGTTCATGATGGTGTGGCAACGGTATAGGGAAAAGGGGTCCTGCAGCTGAGCTAGGCGCTCCTCTGTGTAATCGTCCCGGGAGTCAATCATCCAACGATAAGCCTGGAAGACAGAAAAAGAGGGTGCTGGGTGTGAATCCTTGCAAAGAAGAGGGGCTTACATGCCCAGGGGTCTCCCTAATGCCTGACCCTCCTTCCCCCTCCCTCTGCCTTTCACCATGACACCTTTTGCCCATTCAGCTGACTCCCTCTTCTCTTTCCAGGGTCTTCTGCACCCACCTGCTGGCCCACCAGAAACGCATTCCCTGGCTCCTGTCCACCACAGCCTCTCCCTCCTTCAACCTGAGAACCACTGAGCATCTCCCCATACCTGGTCCTCCCCTCCCCTCATACCCCACTGATGATTGGCAGGAGTCTCCCTGCCCCACTGGCAACATGGACTGAGTTCTGGGCTTCCCCACCCGGCTATTCCCTGGCAGCCAGTGGGCACTTCTGGTCTTTTTACCTGCATGAGCACAGCGGGGCCCAGGTACTTGTCTCCGTTCCACCAGTAGCTGGGGCAGCTGGTGCTGCAGCAGGCACAGAGGATGCATTCGTATAGCCCGTCCTGGCAGGGAGCAAAAGAGGAGCCACAGAGTCAAAGGACTATTTAGCATCTGCCATGAGGGAAAATGAAGCGCAGCCCCACCAGAGGAACACCTTGTGTGGGTCCCAATCTACCCAGACAACCACCGGTGAAGTGAACAAAAGCAGGGGAAGGGGACTTGGTGGGCCGCCACAATTCCAGTTTGTTCCCTAGCAAGTGGTTTTCAAGGCTGCGCTGCCTTGAAACACGGAAAGCTCCATCCCAATCTGCAGTGGCAAGGAGCAGCCACTGACAGGGCCACTGAAATGTCACTTAGAGGTCTTCTGAAACCACCCAAGACGGGGCACCACTGTCACCACATCAAATGGCAAGTCTGTAAGTCAAGAATTGTGCATAGTGTATGTGTGTATGTGTGTGTGTCACAGCTTGTGTGCAGCAACTGCAGCTCCTGTTTCACTACATGTCCCTCCAGGAAAGGGAGAGGATGACTGGCATGGAGATCCCCTGCCTGGCTCCAGGCTCTGCCATGATGGAACTGCCCTCCTCCCACCTTTGAAGATGAGCCACCCTCGGTTTGCCCCAAAGGCTCCTGTAAGACCCTTCAAGGGGAGGAAGGTCAGTGATCTGCTGAAGGAGGCCACTTGGGGGCATGAAGCGGGAGAGGGGGTTCCACCACTGCACTAAGAACTGCCCCAGTCTTTTAGCCAGGTTTGATGTGCAGACCCCTGCCCAATTGCCCAAGGCAACTCAGCTTTGCCTCCAAGTGACCAGGCAGGACTCCTTGAGAATAGGAGGCCATTTTCATCTCCTAGACTACCTCAGCCTCGAAGCCCAGAGCAGCACCCGGCAAAATGAAGGATGCACAACTTCCTGGGCAGAAAGAGAGGCTGAGGTGGGATGGGGCAGATTCATGGCTTGAAAGGGGGATTTTGACAAATTCACTGAGGAGGACAAGGCTTTTGATGGCTACGGTTGTGCAGTACTTCCGTTGCCAGAGGTAAGAAGCCTTAGTGTGCCAATTGCTGGGGACCACAAGGGCCGGAGAGTGGTGTGTGCTCCTGTCCTCCTCGAAGATGCCCCACAGGAAGAGAGGATATTGGGCAAGATGGGCCTGATCCTGCTTCAGAGCTCTTCTTAGGTGCCCATAAAAACTAGCGGCAGGGGCTTGGTGCACAATGTCCTGGGTTCAGTTCCTGGAGGCACTTCTTAAGCAGAGCTCTTGGGTAGCAGCAGGGACAAGAGAGGGCTTCCTCTGACAGTAGAGGTGCAGAACCCTGAAGCAGAGTAAGCCAGGCTGGCCTCTCAATGATGAGGGTCTCAAGACAGGAAGGAGGGGTGACCCGGGGAGGTGAGACTGCAGCTGCCAATACTAGAGGCTGCCTCCCCATGGGAAGAAGTTAAGACAGGCCAAAACACCAATGAAGCAGAATGAAAAGAAAAGAAGAGTAATGACCAGCTTCTCCCGATCTTCTATGGACTGGAGGTATTGCTCTTTGCCTTGCTGGGACTCGTCCTTCTTTTTCAAATACGGCTGGATGGCTTTGTACTGGGCATAGAAGTTGCTCAAGTCCTGGAATGGGGAAAAGCATTTGTTGAGTGCAATGGACTCAAGAAGGGGCAAAGGCTGGGCCCAGTTGGACAGCCCCCTACGTCTCAGAGCCCCTCACCCCCGTACAAGGGCAGGGGGCCATCTCAGAGACAAAAACTTGGCACCCCAATACATTCTGCTATATTTCCTTAGTTCTCCTGCTTCCAAAGAAATAACAATACCTACTGCCAACTGGGCTACAAAGAAGGTGTGAACTTACTGGTACAAGATCCTTCACCACATACATGTGGGGGAGAGGGTATATTTTGGCGACCTTGCCAAGGTCGGTGTCAATCCTCGTGGTACAAGCCAAACTGTTGCCTCCACCAATGTTCATTGCGCAGGAGCCACAGATGCCTAGGAAAGGGGAGAGGACAAATCACAACAGGGCCGGCGGCTCACTGCCTCCCACCATAGGAATACAGAAAGCTGCCTCACATCAAGTCAGGCCATGGGTTCATCATCAGCACAATGGCTCTCCAAATTTCAGGCAGGGGTCTCTCTCAGACTGACTGAGAGTTGCTGGGGACTGAACCTGGGACCTTATGCATGCAAAGCTGTTGCTCTGCCACTGAACTAAGGCCCTTCCCTGGTCCTACTCAAAATCTCCACCTTCCTACATCTAAGATCCTCACGTCAAAGCTGTTTTAATTTTTCAAAAGGAAGCATTGCTTCTCTTTCCTCAAAGCCTCTTAAAAAGCAGTTAATCTTGTGGCAATTTGAAGAGACAGTGCAAACACTTTCAGCATATGTTTGCTTCTTGTTTTACAACAGGCCTAAGCGGAGAGAGTATGTTATTAAACAGAGCTATTTATAGCCACGTTATGTATGCCAATTACAGATCTAATTATAAACAACAGAGAACGCTTGTCCCAAAGAGCTTTGGGGTTATATCCAAAGCCTTTTTTCCTGGGCAGTCATGGGTCTGCCCCAGAATACTTTCCTCAACCTGATGCCTTCCATAAGTTTTATACCAGAGGTTCCCAATCGGTGGTCCACGCACCCCAGGGGGTCCACATAACCCCCCCCAGGAGGTCCATGGCAGCATTCACATACAATAATTACCATAGAGATACCAACATTTTCAAAAGCCCATGGCTTTTGAATTGAAAACCGCTGTTTTTGACTACAGTTACTATCATCAGCCTCGGTCATGGCTATGGAGTCAGAGGATGCTGAAGCTGATAGGAGTTAGTCCTACTCAGAGTAGCCCCATTAAAATTAATGCTCATTATCAGCTTAGGTCCATTAATTGCAATGGGCCTATGTTGAGTAAAACTTAGCTGGATTCAATCTCTTTTAAGCAATTCTGATTCCTAAGTCTGGTTAGACAGGTTTAACCATCTCAACCTCAAAACTTGCAAAAGCTGCCATGTGTTTCAGAATTTGGCCTCTTCACAAGGTTTTAGCAGGTGATGGAGAGAGGTGGCTCTCTCCCATTTAGGCCAACCTAAATCGAGTTGTTCAAATGCTCTGACAGCAGAAAGGCTGTGATGTGAACAGGTAGGAGGTGGGCCTTGCCTTGACCATCGCTCACCTGAGCCCACCTGGGCTCCTCAGAAGACAGCAAACAAGGCACAAGTTTACCTTCTCTGCAAGACCTGCGGAAGGTCAGGGTGGAGTCCATTTCATTCTTAATCTTGATCAGGGCATCAAGAACCATCGGTCCACATCTAGAAAGAGAAATACCAAGTTCTCTACTCATCTCTAAGTCCACTGCTCTCCTTCCTTATATGGTCCCCCCGCCACACACTCTCCACAGTGTGTTCTTAAAGCAAAGGAAATGGGTTAAAGCAGAAGAAAGATGTAAGATGTCACCACATTACCACAGCAAGGTCACAACCTGTCCAAGCCACCAAATATGATGCCAGGTCACTTGCTAGCAGCAGCAATTCACATGTTTTTGAAAAGCAGGCGGCGGCTGCTCTGAAGCGAAGTCCAGCTGGAGGCAAGCTACATTTCCGTGTGCTACATTGGCCGGACTTAACGTGTGGCCCTGCTGAAGGTGCCTGCTACAATTTTCCCATGCTCTGATGAATGCCTCCATCTTGGGTTACCAAACTGAAGGCACCTTCATCTTTGTGCCTCAACACCTGATACCAACGCCCTTTGCTTGCTGCCATTGATTGCACTGTTATAATTGCTATACAGCCCTCCCCTCCCTCAATGGATCGCCTTGTTGGTCAGAGAAATGAACAAAAACGGAGACAAGGCCAGGCAGTAGAAAGCAAGGCTGCCTTTTCTTTATTGGCAGTTCCGTTTGCAAACAGAGTCCCTCCCCGCTACGCCGCCTTGTGAGAGAGGTGAGAAGCTCCAAGCAAAGGTGTGCAACATCTTTCAAAACCTCAGAAAGTATTCACCCCCCTTTTACAGAAAGACCACCCCAAAACATCACAGATACATGACAAGTCTGTCTATCGAGATGCCTGACAATACCTGATAATTGCCCTTCCTGGCCTGGCCTGAAATGGTGGATACCTTGACACCAGAATCTATTGTAAAGGACCTTTTTCTTTTACACATAGATCTTGGCTCTTTTGACAAGTCCACTTCCTCAGGAAGAATTTCCTGCTATGTGACTGGAGAGGGTCTCTGGGGTTGACCACAAGCTAAACTTGGCCTTGGACTTGTTCTGTGTTTTCGTTTCATTCTCATGATTTAGAGATGGATGCCATTTTATTTGAAGGCAAAAGGAGATATTTGGGATTATGCATTTATGTATGTATACTCCTGACTGTGTGTGTATTGTATAACATGTTATAATTGTTATATAACATATAAATTGTTGTATAACATGTTATAATTGTATAACATGATGCACAGGAGCACCCAAGGGTGGGCAACATCCCTTGGCGGAGGGCAGAGGGGTCTTGTCCAGCCCCTTCTTCAAAGCACTACTCACTTGTTCAGATCAACTTCATATGTCTGCATACGAGGTTTCTCCCCGGGGTTGTCTGGGTTCCACCGATATATTGCAAACTTCTTAATGCGAGTGGCTGTCTGTGTGTCAGGCGCAGCGGCAGCAGCTGCTGCGTGTGCCCTGCGGCAAACCTGTACACCAAGGAAGAAGGAAAGGAGACCCAAGCCATGAGCAAGAGGCATGCACAGCAGGGCACACAGTTCCATCTCTGAGACAAGTGTGCGCTTGGGGCCAGCCAGAGTTTACTACCATCAACATTATGTCTCTTTTGCACTGCGGGTGGGGGGACTTGGACTGAGGGTGCCTTGCTTGAAGCAATGCAGACACAGTTGGTAGGGGCACCTTGCCCTCCTCCATTGCCTGGTAGGCTACGCTGCTCCCTCCTTCCCGCCGCTGCAGCTGCCCCCCCCATTCGAGAATGGAGACATAGGAGCCAACTCCTAGGGGCCAAGGTCCCTTCGCTCCCTCCCCCCAAGTCAATGAACATTGCCTGAATTGAATATGCCCCCTCCAAATTTTATTCAATCTGGCAGCCCTGGGCGGAGATGCCCAGGCATCAGCCTCTGCCCCCTTCAGCCCCTCGCCGCTGCAAGCAGAGTCCCCATCCGCCCCTCCGGCTACAGCGGTCAGGAATGAAGATGGGGAGCGGGGCGGCCGCATAGCTGTCAACTTTTCCCTTTTCTTGCGAGGAATCCTACTCGGAATAAGGGAATTTCCCTTAAAAGAAGGGAAACGTTGACAACTATGGGCGGCCGGGAGGACGCCGCTTCTGTCGCTCCCTCGGCAAAAGCCTCCTGGGTCGGACCCAGCCGCCCAGGCAGCCACGTTCCTCGGAGCCAGGACGGCGGAGGACAGGAGTGGCCGGCACCTTCCTCCTCTTCCTCACTGAGGACTAGCCGCCTCCCGAGGCCAACCGCTGCGGAGCCCCTCCCCTCCCGGACACTCCGGCCTCGCTCGCCTGCAGCAACCGCAGCGCCCCCGCCGGGCCTCGCCGAAAGGACAAGGACGCGCCCGCCGCCCGTTCAGCCGCCGCCGCCGCCGCCGCCACCGCCACGGTCACAGAACCCGCTGCCATCTTGCGCCCTCTGAGCGGACACCCTGACAGCTGCTTCCGGAAGGGGAGGGGCCGTAAGGCCCGCTTCCGGTCTGCGGACATATTGAGAGAGGCGACGGGGGAAGGCGCCTTGTTGGGAGTGGCCGTGGGTACGCAAGCACGTAGGTGCGCGCGGGAGGAGGCGGTCCCGCGGCGTTTGGAGCGCCTGACGCGAGAGTGGGGCTTTCGACGTCGGCCGTAGTGGGACTAGTGCGGCCGCCATGTTGAGGGTGGCGGGAGGAGGAGAACGTAGACACAAGAAAGCGCAAGAGCTGAATTACTCCTGACTGCGGCCATGAACGAGACCTCCCCTTGCTCCCGGGTTAAGGGGCTCGTGCGTGCGCGCTCCCTGCCCCTGCTCAAAGGTTGCCGTGGGTGTGTCGGGGGGTCCCAGGGTGGGTCACGGAGCTCCGAGGATCGGGGTGTCCCGACGGTCGCCTGGTGGTGTAGCCTTATTAATCCATGGGTAGGAATAATTGTTGCACCCGAGCAGAGACAAAAGGAGCCAAACGACACCAAGGGGTTAATCCAGAGAAAGAGCGTTTTATTCTGCCATCCGGGGGAGCAGAAGGCACCTGTGTGATTCAGTTCACAAAAGACAGGCCGCACCGAAAACATTTTACAAGCAGGTTTTATCCTTTTTTGCAAACCCCTTTTTTCCTCTCCCCCTTCACAGGTTCTTACATAGAAATGTTGCTTTTCGTTCTCTGGCTCTGTTCCCGGAAGTATGTTGCAAGTCAATGTACCAGGACAAGGTTAGCTTGGATCTGGGAAGCGAAAGCTTTACTGTTCTCAGCTCTGAGTTGTTACAGCGTTTTTGTTACAGAGAGGACTGCTTAGCTCATGCTTTTTGTCTTAGAGGAAAATGCAGTTTTAAAAATGCGTACGCCGAGGCCTGGCTGGGGGGGGGGGGAATTCACAAACAGTTTTTTAGGGCTTTCTGGGGTAACCCTAACTGTACCCCTTCAGTGGGTGCGCCACGTGCTACGTTCACGTGTAAATGGGTGGACGCGTGTTGAGCACCGAGAAGGCTGCTGCGATTCTCCCGACCCGCCGCCTTCCTGAGTCTTTCCAGCAACGGGTAGCCTCCCGACTGTGGAGGCAGAGCAGAGCCATCGCGGCTTGTAGCTGTTGGCTGCCCTCTCCCCCCAGAGCGGTCATCTGGTCCAAACCCCTGCAATTAGGGTTGCGACCTTTGTTCTGGCAAAACACAGTGGTACCTCGGGTTAAGTACCTAATTCGTTCCGGAGGTCCGTTCTTAACCTGAAACTGTTCTTAACCTGAGGTACCACTTTAGCTAATGGGGCCTCCTGCTGACCCTACGCTGCTGCTGCACGATTTCTGTTCTCATCCTGAAACAAAGTTCTTAACCCGAGGTACAGTGGTACCTCAGGATGCGAACGGGATCCGTTCCGGAGCCCCGTTCACATCCCGAACAGAACGTAAGACGCAACTCCACGGGTCACGTTTCAGCGCTTCCGCGCATGCGCGTGACGTCATTTTGACCATCTGCGCATGCACGAGTGACGAAACTCAGAAGTAACGCGCTCCTTTACTTCCGGCTCGCCGTGGAGCACAACCCAAAAGCGCTCAACCTGAATCGTATTTATCCCGAGCTATGACTGTACTCCTGCCAACCTAGCAGTTCGAAAGCACGTCAAAGTGCAAGTAGATAAATAGGTACCGCTCTGGTGGGAAGGTAAACGGCGTTTCCGTGCGCTGCTCTGGCTCACCAGAAGCGGCTTAGTCATGCTGTACGCCAGCTCCCTCGGCCAATAAAGCGAGATGAGTGCCACAACCCCAGAGTCAGTCACGACTGGACCAAATGGTCAGGGGTCCCTTTACCTTATGACTGTACTATTTCTGGGTTAGCGGAGGCTGTAACCTGAAGCGTCTGTAACCTGAAGCGTCTGTAACCCGAGGTTCCACTGTATAGGACAAGATAGCGGTGTTGGCGTGCTTTTCTTTTTCCACCTGGTGCTGAAATGACTTCAGAGCAATCCATTGCAGTCTACTGCAGCCTAACTGCATGGCCCCTCTTACATTTGTCACACGCACATAATATTGTAAATCTGTGCTTTGCTATCCGGAGCTGAAATATACAACTTTTTCCACACATACACAGTCCTGTGCAACAATGCATGCAGTAGGCGGGGGCATATTCTGATGAGGGGATGAGCTTTCTTCCACGTGTTAAATTTCTGAAGGAGAGGGAGAAAGGGTGGTTGGAAGGAGTTACTTCTCCCACGCCGCCTCCTCTCTCAAATATCATGCAGATCATGTTCAGAACGGAGGCTTCTGGGCTACACTGACACAGAACGACTTGTTGCTGGAGCCTCGGAAGGGACAGGGCCCGGTCCTCCCAGGTGGATGGCTACAGGGGACTGGAAAGGACAACCTCAAAGCCTTGCCCTGGTTTGCTCCACCTTGGGACCAGATGAGAAGATGGAATGAGGCGAAAAAAAGGAAAGGAAAGGAGTGAGAGGCAGGGGGAGCAGCAACAGCCGCAGGGCAGAAATAGGGAAAATACAGGACAAAGTGTGCCCTGTATTGAATCATTTTACATTGAAATAAGGGACAATCCTGTATACTACAGGGTGGGTGGCAACCCTACCTGCAATGCAGGCATCACAGCTCAATAATGACCACACAGAGATTTTACTTTCTTGGGCTCCATGATCACTGCAGATGGTGACAGCAGCCACGAAATTAAAAGACGCCTGCTTCTTGGGAGAAAAGCAATGACAAACCTAGGCAGCATCTTAAAAAGCAGAGACATCACCTTGCCGACAAAGGTCTGTACAGTGGTACCTCGGGTTACATATGCTTCAGGTTACAGACTCTGCTAACCCAGAAATAGTGCTTCAGGTTAAGAACTTTGCTTCAGGATGAGAACAGAAATCGTGCCCCAACAGCGCGGCGGCAGCAGGAGGCCCCATTAGCTAAAGTGGTGCTTCAGGTTAAGAACAGTTTCAGGTTAAGAACAGACCTCCAGAACGAATTAAGTACTTAACCCGAGGTACCTGTATAGTTAAAGCTATGGTTTGCCCAGTAGTGATGTATGGAAGTGAGAGCTGATCGCCGAAGAATTGATGCTTTTAAATTATGGTGCTGGAGGAGACTCTTGAGAGTCCCATGGACTGCAAGAAGATCAAACCTCTCCATTCTGAAGGAAATCAGCCCTGAGAGCTCACTGGAAGGACAGATCCTGAAGCTGAGGCTCCAGTACTTTGGCCACCTCATGAGAAGAGATTACTCCCTGGAAAAGACCCTGATGTTGGGAAAGATGGAGGGCACAAGGAGAAGGGGACGACAGAGGACGAGATGGTTGGACAGTGTTCTCGAAGCTACCAGCATGAGTTTGACCAAACTGCAGGAGGCAGTGGAAGACAAGAGTGCCTGGCATGCTCTGGTCCAGGGGGTCACGAAGAGTCGGACACGACTAAACGACTAAACAACAAATGGTTTCTTGGGAGAAGCTATGGAAAAAAGATATGAAATTCATTGCCTGTTGTGCTTTAAATGAAAACTATTTGAATATGATGGAATCATAGAATCTTAGAGTTTGAAAGTACCCAGGGGTCATCTAGCCCAACCCCCTGCAATGCAGGAGTCTCAGCTAAAGTATCCATGACAGATGGCCATTCAACCTTTGTTTAAAAGCCTCCAAGGAAGGAGAGTCCATCACCTCTCGTGGGAGTCTGTTCCAATGCTGAACAGCTCTTGCTGTCAAAAAGTTTTTTCAAATGTTTAGTTCAGGGGTCTGCAACCTTTAAGACAAAAAGAGCCACTTGGACCCATTTCTGAAGAGAAAAAAAACTGGGAGCCGCAAAACTTGTTATAACTTTTTTGTCACTTTTTTATTATTTCTTTGTTTGACCCCTCAGAATTACTCCTCCTCATAGAAATAAACGTTAAATTAACAAGTTACCTTTTTTGTGTGTGTGTGTTCTTCACTCCCCTTCAAAACAGTGACCAGCGTACATGCCCCCTTTCAATGCAGTGACCAGCGTACATGCCCCTTACAATGTAGCGGGCGGGCGGGAAGGTGACGTCGGGACGGTGCGTGACTAACGCACGCACCGCCCCCATGCGACGTCACAGCCAGAACAGCGCCCGCCACAGTGGGAAGTGTCGGGGCGCACAATGCGCCTCCTTCCCTCGCTACTATCCGCCCCGGAGCCGCGCCAAAGGTGTAAAAGAGCCACATGCGGCTCCGGAGCCGCGGGTTGCAGACCCCTGGTTTAGTTGGAATCTCCTTTCTTGCAACTTGAAGCCATTGGTTGGAATCCTACCCTCCGGAGCAGGAGAAAACAAGCATGCTCCCTCCTCCAAGTGACAGCCCTTACGATATTTGAAGATCGCTATCATATCTCCTCTCAGTCTCCTCTTTTCCAAGCTAAACATACCCAGCTCCTTCAAGCGCTCCTCATAAGGCTCTTGATCATCCTAGTTGCCCTCCTCTGCGCACGTTCCAGCTTGTCAACATCCTTCTTAAATTGTGGTGCCCAGAATTGGACACAGTATTGCAAGCGTGGTCTGACTAAGGCAGAATAGAGTGGTACTAGTACTTCCCCTAAGAGGGACGCGGGTGGCGCTGTGGATAAAAGCCTCAGCGCCTAGGGCTTGCCGATCGAAAGGTCGGTAGTTCGAATCCCCGCGGCGGGGTGCGCTCCCGTTGCTCGGTCCAGCGCCTGCCAACCTAGCAGTTCGAAAGCACCCCCAGGTGCAAGTAGATAAATAGGGACCGCTTACTGGCGGGAAGGTAAACGGTGTTTCCGTGTGCTGCGCTGGCTCGCCAGATGCAGCTTGTCATACTGGCCTCGTGACCCGGAAGTGTCTCCGGACAGCGCTGGCCCCTGGCCTCTTAAGTGAGATGGGCGCACAACCCCAGAGTCTGTCAAGACTGGCCGTACGGGCAGGGGTACCTTTACCTTTACCTTTAGTACTTCCCCTGGACGCTATACTTCTGTTGATGCAACCTAGATGTACAGGTGATATTTAACATCAAATAACACAGACAGAAATTTCATTCTTTCAGATGTGGTGGGCATGTAAAAGGCTAAAGGCTTTGGGGAAATGATTTATAATGAAATTAAGAAGCTATTCACGTGGGCTATTCCCAAAAGACCTGAAGCTTTTCTTATAGGGATAACAGAAGACGGCCAAACAACAGCAGCTAGAATATTGTATGCACAGAAATGGAAAGAAGAGAAGGTTCCAGTGAAGGAATACAGTGGTACCTCAGGTTACATACGCTTCAGGTTACAGACTCTGCTAACCCAGAAATAATACCTCGGGTTAAGAACTTTGCTTCAGGATGAGAACAGAAATCGTGCGGCAGCAGCGGGAGGCCCCATTAGCTAAAGTGGTGCTTCAGGTTAAGAACAGTTTCAGGTTAAGAACGGACCTCCGGAATGAATTAAGTTCTTAACCCGAGGTACCACTGTAATGGCTTTTATAAGGACTGTGTGGAAATGGCAAATTTGACAACAAAATTAAGAGACCAAAATGATGAACTTTTTATAAAAGAGTGGAGGCCTTTTTTCGACAATTCGGATTATTCTTACTTAAGTGTAGAACCTTGTATTTGTTCCTATTGAGATTCATTTTAGTTAGCTTTGGTCCCATTCTCCAATCTGTTAAGGTCCTATTGAATCCCGATTCTGTCTTCTGAGGTATTTGCTGCCTCACCCTGTTTGGGGTCATCTGCAAACTGGATGAGCATCCCTTCAGTTCTTTCGCCCAAGTAAAGATGCTGAACAGCACCAGGCCTGGGACAGAACCCTGCGGCACCCCACTTGGCACTCCCCCCCCCAGGATCAGTGCTCTTTGGGTTCTGTCACTCAGCTCCAAATCCACCCAACATTGACATTGCCTGCCCTACCTTTTACCAGCTTCTCAAGAAGGCTTTGTGGAAAGCCTTGATGAAATCAAGACGTTTTACATCCACAGCTTTCCCCTGATCCACCAAGCTTGCAACTCTTATCAAAAACAGAAGTAAGGTTGGTCTGGCATAACTTGCTCTTTAGAAGCCCATGCTTGCTCTAGCGACCTCAGTATACTTTTCTAAGTCCTCACAGACCAATTGTTTAGTTATCTGTTGTAAGACCTTTGCTGGTATCGAAGTCAACCCGTCTGATTTGTAGTTTCCTGGTCCTCTTCCCTCCCCTTCTGAAGATTGGGGCAGTTGCATGCCTCCAGTCTGCAGAGACCTCACCTGTTGTTGTTCTTCCCTGCTCCTCCTCTCTGGTTTTAATTAAGTGGGATGGGGTTGAAATGTGTGGAAACCCGCTGCCTTTAAAGGAAGGTAGCATTAGGACCCAGGGGAGAGGCTGCATTGCAAGACAGATTTCTTTCCCCCTCTCTTGAAAGTGGGCAAAAGAGATCCAGTCTCTGGGAGAATAGCAGGGGGACTGAGAGGAAGAGAGACCTTCAGACCAGTAAGTCACTCCTGTGTGTCTCTGTGCATGCACAGAGGTTTTGTGCCCTTTTTGGATGTTGCAATTTAGAGCTCACCAGTAGGCAAGAGTGGTGGGCAAAATGTACAGGGACCATTTCGCCTTCAGTCAAGATCACGACCCCCCAAAACTAAAGCAAATGGCAGTGGAGGAGTAAGGGGGCGGGGTGGGAATCATTCGTGTTTTTCGGAAAGGCAGGTTTACTTTTCTTGTTTTAACTCCAGCTTTTAATCCAGAGCAAAGGCGGCTTTGAGGGGTCCTTGGTTCACTTTTGTCTAAATACCAAATTGCATGTTGGTGTTGTTTTAAGGGAATTTCCAATGGAAGGGGAAACTTTGGAAGGATGAAGGAAAGGTAGTGAGATTAAGGACAATATGTGTGCTCTATTCATTGTAAATGCAACAGCTCAGTGAGTGCGTTGGCCGGGCAGATGTTGAGCGCCCCCCCCCCTTTCCATTTCCTGATGTCTGGAATTTTGGCTGGGGGCAGAGAGGAGGGGGATTGTCTTTCTTGGAAAGTCACTATAAAAGCCCTTGTAAGTAAGGGCTTGGGGGGGGGGTGGGCAAGACATTGTGGGTCGATTTTGGAGGTCCAAAATCCTTGCAATATCTGTGTTGGTGGTGGAGGGGGGGGGTTCCCTTTTGTTCTCTGCTCCCTCTCCTGGCCTTTGGAGGAGGGGGCTTTTCCTAGAAGGTGGGGTTTCAGGAAGTTCCTGAGGCATTCTTTCCTTTGCAGGAGCTGACTGATTGTTCCCAGATGTGCCTTGCAAAAAAACATCTGGTTTCCCTAAAAGTGTTACCCTCCCACATCTTGGGCATTGAGGAGGGCCTCCCCCCCCCCCATTTCAGCATCTTCTGCCAAAAGCATCAGTGCAGTGGGGGCCTTCTAGGAGGGAGGGAGAGTGGGAGCAGGGTCCGGGAAGGGAATAGCCTTTCCTGGCTAGAGGGGGACGGTGGGGGAGGTTCTTTGATGTGGAGGAGGGAGAGCTCAACTACCACATCTTGCTCCAATGCCCCTGGTGAACTTGCATCACATCTCTGCCCATGCGCAAAGGGCTTTCCCCCACACCATGTAATTGGAGCCAGCCCGACCTACAAGACAAATTTAATACATCTATTTAAACCAATTGCTGAGAAGGAGGCCCTACAGTCACTATGTGCTTAATTATCTTCTTGGGATGTGGGGGATGTTAGGTTTGGGGGACACCGTTGTGCTCCTCCTGGGGTAGTTTTCCACCTTCCCCCCCAAAAATTTTTATTGGTTTTCCAAATTTATAACAAACATAAAAGAAAAACATTACAATAGAAAAAAACAAACCAACATTTATCCTAACTGTTATAATCCCACTTTTGTTACTATTGTTAGATGACTTCCTCAAACCCCCCTAGCTGTTTCTATATAGCTCATTGTAGCAGTTTTCCAATACTATTTTCAAATAAAATTAACTTAGTCAATTAACATCCTTCTTTCTTTTCATATTTACTTCTATCCATAGCGTTATGCAATTTAACATATTTAACTCCTAAGCCAATTTGGTAAAGGTAAAGGTAAAGGTACCCCTGCCCATACGGGCCAGTCTTGACAGACTCTAGGGTTGTGCGCCCATCTCACTCAAGAGGCCGGGGGCCAGCGCTGTCCGGAGACACTTCCGGGTCACGTGGCCAGCGTGACATCGCTGCTCTGGCGAGCCAGAGCCACACACGGAAACGCCGTTTACCTTCCCGCTAGTAAGCGGTCCCTATTTATCTACTTGCACCTGGGGGTGCTTTCGAACTGCTAGGTTGGCAGGCGCTGGGACCGAGCAGCGGGAGCGCACCCCGCCGCGGGGATTCGAACCGCCGACCTTTCGATCGGCAAGCCCTAGGCGCTGAGGCTTTTACCCACAGCGCCACCCGCGTCCCCTAAGCCAATTTGGTACTCGCAAGTAATTCTACTTACAGTGGTACCTTGGGTTACATACGCTTCAGGTTACATATGCTTCAGGTTACAGACTCCGCTAACCCAGAAATAGTACCTCAGGTTAAGAACTTTGCTTCAGGACGAGTAAAGAAATTGTGCGGCGGCAGTAGGAGGCCCCATTAGCTAAAGTGGTACCTCAGGTTAAGAATAGTTTCAAGTTAAGAACGGACCTCCGGAATGAATTAAGTACTTAACCCGAGGTACCACTGTATATTATCTTAGATTATTTAACTAAATAATCCTTGAATTTCTTCCATTCTTCTTGGTACTCCTCCTCTTTCTGTTCGCGGATTCTTCCGGTCAGGTTGGCCAGCTCCAAAAAGTCCATCATCTGGTAGTTTGGCCACCTTTGGCCCCTACCCTGAGCTCTCACATGTGGCTTCCAGAAACTGACAGCAGCCACATGCTGGGAACAACATCAACTGCCCAGCTAAACTAGGTGAGGGTAGCCGGTGGATCTCAAACCTGCAAAGACAGGCTCTGGGAGATTGAGCAGATGTAACCAAGAGTGGGTCCAATGGTCAAGAAAGTGGCTTCAGCCTCTGCTGTAGAAAGAAGCGAGGGGCAGATGGGGCTCATCAACCTGAGAAGGTAACTCACCAAGAAGGAAACGCTGATCCTAAACTTTTGTGGGTGCATTTACCTCTTGTTACGTTCCTGCACTTGTTTACAGTTTGCCTAATTCCTATGACATGGACGCGGGTGGCGCTGTGGGTTAAACCACAGAGCCTAGGACTTGCCGATCAGAAGGTCGGTGGTTTGAACCCCCGTGACGGGGTGAGCTCCCGTTGCTCGGTCCCTGCTCCAGCGTGGTGTAGTGGTTAAGAGCGGTGGACTCGTAATCTGGTGAACTGGGTTTGATGCCCTGCTCCTCCACATGCAGCTTGCTGGGTGACCTTGGGCCAGTCACACTTCTCTGAAGTCTCTCAACCCCACTCACCTCACAGAGTGTTTGTTGTGGGGGAGGGAGGGAAAAGGAGATTGTTAGCTGCTTTGAGACTCCTTAAGGGGAGTGAAAGGCGGGATATCAAGTCCAAACTCTTCTTCTTCTTCCCCTGCCAACCTAGCAGTTTGAAAGCACATCAAAGTGCAAGTAGATAAATAGGTACTGCTCCGGCGGGAAGGTAAACGGAAACTACTCTGGCTCGCCAGAAGCGGCTTAGTGATGCTGGCCACATGACCCAGAAGCTGCACGCCGGCTCCCTCGGCCTATAGAGTGAGATGAGCACCGCAACCCCAGAGTCGGCCACGACTGGACCTAATGGTCAGGGGTCCCTTTACCTTTAATTCCTATGACAAGGGGAGCAATCATGTTTTAAGCTGGCTGCACTGGGGGTGCCCAGCCAAAGGACAAAGCAACTCTCTCCCTCTCTCCTGAACTGTGCAAACAGGCATGGCGAGAGAGGGGGCGGGGGTTTTTGCTGCTCTTGGAGATGGATTCAGAATCCCAGCATGGAAGAGGTCCTGCTGGCAGCTTGCTGCAGCATTCACGCCCCCACCAGACTCTTAAATGACTTCTGCAGAGGCGGAGGAAAGCATTCCAGGAAACTTTCCTCAACTACGAGTCGGGTTCCAGGCCAGGCCTCTTTGTTCAGAGCACCTGGGCATTGATTTCAGTATCTGGCGAGGAGCTTTGCGCCCGTTCCCTTTCCTCTTCCCCTTCCCGCTCCTGCAGTGTTGGGCAACGATGCATGGAGAAATCGAAGCAATTAAAAATAAAAAGGGCACTGCATTGCTGGAAAGTGGTCAGGTTGGGTTTCTTTCAACAGAACATTTCCTGACAGCATCTCCCCTCTTAATTGGTGTTTTTGGTCTTATGTGACCTCCAGGCTTGAAGCCCTGCGCCGCCTTCTACAGACATAAAAAGGGTTACAGGGAGTCCATATTTAGGCTCCCTGCTCATTGTACCAACAGCCTACAAAATTATGGTGGGAACACCACTGACACAACAAGGATGGTGAGCAGCCATGGTTTTTGTTTTTTTGTTTTTAAAGTGGTGCTTCAGGTTAAGAACAGTTTCAGGTTAAGAACGGACCTCCAGAACCAATTAAGTTCTTAACCCGAGGTACCACTCGTGAGCAGCCATGTTAATTGAGATCCTGTTCTTTCGGTCTCGTGACGGACAGGTATTCAGATGCTGAGGGTCTTCGAGACAGAACTACCGTATTTTTCGCTCCATAAGATGCACTTTTTTCTTCCTAAAAAGTAAGGGGAAATATCTGTGCGTCTTATGGAGAGAATGCGTGGTCCCTGGAGCCGAATTGCCCAGGGGCAAAAAGCAGATCATGCTTTCTTTTTTGAAAGAGGGAAGTGGGTGTTGAAACAAAGCCGCTGATCATTTGCCGATCGGGGAGAGAGATAAGGGACACTAGAGATAAAGGAGGCTGTTGCGTGCAAAAACGTGGTTATAAAGCTCGGATCCACATGGATCCTCAGGATTTTTGCATTGGGTCACCCCAAATTCACCATCAGATAACATGTCTGTGGCCACAGCATGAACCACAAAAATCATACGTCCACTGTTTCGTTCAGAGTATTTTTTCCCCTCTTGTTTTCCTCCTCTAAAAACTAGGTGTGTCTTATGGTCAGGTGCGTCTTATGGAGCAAAAAATACGGTATACCAGTATATTTCAACCGCCTGTGGGGTACATTTCCTTAGGCATCTCTTGCAGGGGCTGCATGCAAAACCATACCCTCCAAGTGTCCTGGTTTTCCAGGGACAGTCCCGGAATTGTGAAAGCCCTCCCGGTTTCTGATTTCATCCCGGGATGTCCCCATTTCCCCTGCCGGTGCTGAGCTCTGGTGCTTGTCCTTAACGACAGTTTGTGGCTGTGGGAGAGCATCCCATTGCCAGCCTCCGTCCTTGGGCAGCTCATAGTGGCTGCTGGATAGTTGGTAAGGAGATGAGGCTGCAGCCAGTTCTGAGGGGCAGGAAGAAAAAGGGAGCGTAGCTGTTGTAAATAAAAAATATGCCCTTTTCCCTTATGGGGTATCCAAGAGCCCATATAGAGTCCTTACATAGGTTCCCTATTGGTAGGAGAAAATAACAGAGGCCAACCAGAGAATATTGAGAAGCAAAGCAGCTAGTAAGCTTGATCTTTATTGATCTGTTGCAACAGGGTGCTCCCCTCACACGCAGGAGAGAAAGAGGACCCACAAAAATGCTGTGCAAGGGCTTATAAAGAGTTTTGAAATTCCCATCCTCTAGATCAAGACCACCCCCAGAAACATTATGCATACATCACAGAAGGGGTGTAACCTAAGACCGCCCCTCAGATACATCCCACCTACATCACAGAAATTTAAATGTTGTTTTTCTCCTGTCACAGTTTATCTCCTGTCTGGCAAGTTGCTTGATTGGATTTCTGGGGAGCCTGGCCATTCTTTTGTAGTGGTAAAATACTTATTTCCTGGGCCAGGTCACAGGCTCACACCTTATTCATATCTTAAATGTGTCCTTAAGACAGGATTTGTGAGGAAAGAGACAATGGGGAGACTTTTCCAGTTTGACCTTGCAGAGAAAACATTTGGTCAGTTTAGGAATCAAAATGGTTCCAGGTTGGCCTTCCTGTGCTGATCTATGTATGTGCGGTTATGAACATTGCCATATATCTAAGACCATAAAATTCCTATCACATAGCGAAGCAGAGTTCAAGGAGTCCTGATATTTTATTTTTTTAAAAAGTTGTGTGTGTGTGTCTGCGTCTAATCTTGCCCCTTTCTAAACATTTATTTATTACATGTATGTCTTTCGTTTTGTAAATCTACCAAGGAATAAAATGAAATCGGGACTTGCCCATCTTCTGATAGGAAACACTCTGCAGGGGAGGGAAAACATTGGGGGGAGGGTCGAGGAAGGTCAGTTTGGGGGAGTGAGAAATGTCCCTACAGTGGTACCTCGGGTTAGGAACTTAATTCATTCCGGAGGTCCGTTCTTAACCTGAAACTGTTCTTAACCTGAAGCACCACTTTAGCTAATGGGGCCGCCACACTGCCGCTGCGCGATTTCTGTTCTCATCCTGAAGCAAAGTTCTTAACCCGAGGTAATATTTCTGGGTTAGTGGAGTCTGTAACCTGAAGCGTATGTAACCTGAAGCGTATGTAACCTGAGAGGTACCACTGTATTTTCATCTGAGGAATGTTGGAGGGTATGCAAGACCTGAGTCATCTTTCAGCGCAAATGTAGTTTATCGGAATGAATTCGCCATGGCCCTCAGGGTGACAGCAGTGAGCAATCATTCTTTGACGAAGACGTTGTGGAGGGTTCTCAGCAGTTAAAAATGGGGAGGGGGCAACCAGGGGCAGCCATCCTGCGGATTCTGCGCAGCTCTTGGCTTCGTTCCGAAAGCTCTGTGCAAGCAGTCAGCTTAGACTTCTGGAATGAGCTATTTAACCATCAGAGGAGGAGGAGGGGTGACCCCTCCCACCTTTGGCTTCTTCCACAGTTAACATGTGTCTTCCCCCTGACTCCCCACAACGCACACTAAGGAATGCAGCCCTCAGGCGGAAAACCGCTTGCCTGCCCCAGCTTTTGGCGAGAGCTCTTGGTTTTGTGTTGCTTGTTAAATGTACAATGTTCAGTCAACAGAACATTTGGCAGGTGCCCCCTTTCCAGTTTCCCTCTCCCCGCCAGGGTACCGCAAACCACATCTGGCTATGCGCTTCTGATGGAAATGGCAGCGTCCCCAATGGAAACCAACAATAACAACTGGGCTCCGCTGAGCCTACACATTTGACTTTCTTTGTGCCTAAATCCCTCCCAAAGGTTTCCCGGGTCTCCGGTGCCATTTGGGGACAGATTTATTGGTTCTGCAGCAGGGCACAAGATCAACAGGGGCTTTGCAAAGTCTGCAGAACTTTTTGAGAGCTTGTTTTGAGGGAGGGGCAGGCCTTCTGCTTTCCAATCCCAACAGAATCTGAAGGCAGGAGGTGGAGGAGGTGTATGCAGACGCTGCTAGGCCCGCAGAGGCCAGGCCTGGCAGGATCCAGGGGGTCTCTTGGGAGTGGAAAGGAATCTCCATCTTTCTTTCAGACAGGAGACAACCCAGATCTCCTCTAAGGTGTGTTTTTCTGCACAGTTGCCATGTGATTACTTGGCATGCCAATAAAGTAAATGCGAAAAGGCAGCCGTACGAAACATTAAAAAAGGTAAAGGGACCCCTGACCATTAGGTCCAGTCGTGACCGACTCTGGGGTTGGGACGCTCATCTCGCTTTATTGGCCGAGGGAGCCGGCGTACAGCTTCCGGGTCATGTGGCCAGCATGACTAAGTCGCTTCTGGCGAACCAGAGCAGCGCATGGAAACGCCGTTTACCTTCCCGGCAGAGTGGTACCTATTTATCTCCTTGCACTTTGAGGTGCTTTCAAACTGCTAGGTTGGCAGGAGCAGGGACCGAGCAACGGGAGCTCACCCCGTTGCGGGGATTTGAACCGCCGACCTTCTGATCGGCAAGTCCTAGGCTCTGTGGTTTAACCCACAGCGCCACCCACGTCCCGTATGAAACATATTGCAGTAGAAAATGGCATTAAAACATAAATATGGGCACACTTTCCAGAAGGATAGATGTGAACAGCCAACACAAATGTCAAATGAACGGCTGCACTTTAGCCCAAGCTGTGCTGCTCAGCCTTTTCCCCTTCCTGACCCTGCGGGTGTTTCTTCCACAGCCCAGCAGGACTACCCCAGACTGAGAATGAGGAGGACACTAAATCTCTTCCTCCTGTGCCTGCCAGGTGAGTGGAACAGTGCATTTCAAAACACTGGAGCAAAGTAATGGAAGCAGTCTGATCCAGGGCTCTGCCTCTAGAACCTCTCTTAACTTGCTGCCCTGGAAAATATAAGGTGTGACCGGAAAGTTCGGTGAATGGTCACAGAAATCAGACAGCGAGAAATATTCAAACATACATGCCTTTTGTTGTTGTTGTTGTTGTTTAGTCGTGTCCGACTCTTCGTGACCCCATGGACCAGAGCACGCCAGGCACTCCTGTCTTCCACTGCCTCCCGCAGTTTGGTCAAACTCATGCTGGTAGCATCGAGAACACTGTCCAACCTTCTCGTCCTCTGTCGTCCCCTTCTCCTGGTGCCCTCCATCTTTCCCAACATCAGGGTCTTTTCCAGGGAGTCTTCTCTTCTCATGAGGTGACCAAAGTATTGGAGCCTCAGCTTCAGGATCTGTCCTTCCAGTGAGCACTCAGGGCTGATTTCCTTCAGAATACATGTCTTACAGGCCTTGAAAGTAGGCCCCCTCTGATATAATGCACCGTTGACAACGTTCTTAGAACTGTTGGAAACTTCTGGAGAAGCCCTCTTTTCATAATGCTTTCAGTTCCCTCATCAGAGCAGCTCAGACGTGTGAAATGTTGGGAAATCTTTACGCTTTCAGTGCAGATTTCAGTTTTGGAAAAAGAAAGAAATCCGGTGGGGTCAGATCGGGAGAATATGCAGGGTGGGACAACTCAGTAACGATTTCACACGGAATATGCAATTATTCCGCCATCCGGATGGACAAATGCCGATCCCGCATCAATAACTCATGGACTCTGTCGACATTTGCTGCTGTTCAGCTCGTCAGCGGTCTGCCAAACCGAGGGTCCTCTTCGATGGTTTGATTTCTGTGACAATTCACTGAACGTTCCGGTCACACCTTGTATTAAAAAATGATCATCAAGAGCTTTGGGGGGGCAGGTGTCATTTGTGTGTGTGTGTCCGTCCAGCTGTCCAGCGAGAGAAGCATTTTGGGGAATGAATGTGGCTCGGGGGTGGAGAATCTTCGCATGCAGAAGGTGGGCTGCACTGGCTCTTGCTGCAGAGTGCTCGGGGCAGGCAGACGCTTCCTTCTGGATTCTCGCAGTATGCAACTGCAGCCCCTAGACTGCACCCATGGTCTGGTGGTGATGGGGAGACCCAGCTGAGCCCCTGCCTCTTTCTAACCAGCAGCACTCCTGGCTCAAGGGCAATACGACATCGAGGACCCGGCCTACCATGACACACCTTACGTGCCTTACGAAATAGGTGAGTGCGTTGCAGCCTGGAGGAAACTCCCTACTCCCTGTCTCATGCCATTCAAATCAAGGACACTAGAATGTGACACTATGCTGTGCATATTTTAGAACTCTCTCCATCTGGGGAGCAGCCAAAGGTTGCAAACCCCAGGATCTCCCAGCCACGATGTGGGGAAATGCTATCACCTCTGCCCCCCGCTCCTCATCCTTCCAAACACAACCTCAGTGGAATTAAACTGCATCTTTGGTGTTATGTACTGAAGTTCTCACCCTGGGCCAGCAGGGGGATACCGTAGATAGTTTTCATTCAGGTCCGCATATGCAAATAAGGGATTGAAAGTGACGTTCAGTGATTGGATCGTTACAGAAAGTTGTTACTGTTTCTTTGTAGTTGAGCTCTATATAAGCAGGCTGGCTGAACCCTTCAGTTCTGTTCTGGCCTGTGAATAAACAAGAGCTGTTTGAAGAATCGCTGTGCTGTCTGATATGTTCCCCCACAACCTAACATTTTCCTTCCTTCTTTTTTTTAGACAGCCAAGATTATTATGACTATGCTGGTAATGGTGAGTCAACTTTTCCCTCTGCTCTGTGGGAGTTTGGGGGAAGGGAAGAACTTATTTCCATCACAATCCCCCTCAAAAGCACGTCCTGAGCCTTAGACTTTGGGGTGGAAATGGGAGAGCCAGGCTGGCTGAAGCTGAACCTCCCCCCTCTCCCTCCCCCCTTTCCACAGCAGACATTGCTCCGCAGACCCCGGAGGAGCAATATCAGTACCAGTCCCAACAGCAGAACCAGCAGGAAGTCATCCCTGCGCCAACCCAAGGTAAGCCCACCTTCTCTTGGTAGGGAGGTGTTGTGGAAGGGGCATTGCACCACAACCGCCAGAAGGAGAAGCAAGGGGAACAGTGCGGGGAATCAGGGCCAGATTAAGACCTTCAGAGGCTCTAAGCACTTAAAAGATCTTGGGGCCCCCATATATATCCATTTCAAAACATAAACTGTAAAATCATTTTTTTAGTTTTCAAAATGAAACGGAGCATGCAGTAAGATGGAAAATGTTTATTTCTGCATACTCCCACTTTGTTTATATTTGAAATTTTTTAATCCGGCTTTTAGCAAAGTCTTTGATCAGATCCTCAAAACCAATCTTACGTAACACATCTGCTTCTACAATTAGTAGAGAACAGGCATCAAGCCTGCCTTGTTGCATAGTTATTCTGAAGTTAAATATACAGTGGTGCCTCGCAAGACGAAATTAATCCGTTCCACGAGTCTCTTCGTCTTGTGGTTTTTTCGTCTTGCGAAGCATGGCTATTAGCGGCTATTAGCAGCTTAGCGGCTTAGCGGCTATTAACGGCTTAGCGGCTTAGCGGATATTAACGGCTTAGCGGCTTTAAGAAAAAGGAAACAAACTCGCAAGAACTCGCAAGGCGTTTCGTCTTGCGAAGCAAGCCCATAGGGAAATTTGTCTTGCAGAACGACTCAAAAAATGGAAAACCCTTTCGTCTAGCGAGTTTTTCGTCTTGCGAGGCATTCGTCTTGCGGGGCACCACTGTACGTCAGCTGAGAAAACGAACGCTCAGCTGAGCAACGGGTGACCATTGATGTTAAAAATCCGGCCATGGAAAATTTCTGTGGTTCCCCCTCACTTTCCCTTGATGCCCTAAGCATGGGCTTATTTTGCCTAACGGTTAATCCACCTGGTGAGGGGGGACGACGACACTTAGCCCCTGTTGCTGGGAGCTGTGCAAAAAATGTTAGGCTCCTCCTCTTCTGGAAGGTCCAAACTGACCTGCTTCAGTTATAGAGATTTTAACTATTCAGATAGCCCTGGCTGGCTGTGCTGTGGCTTTCATATTCTCATGTAAATAAGGGACAGGCCCATCCCTGCTTGCAGCCATGCTTGCAATGAAGACTATCAAGAGCCCTGAAATTGGATCTGTAACCCTAATCTTCTTCTAATCCTCTTTCCCCCTACCTACCCTGTTCTAGATGTTCCCGAGACAGAGCCCACTGAACCAGGCCCCCTCGGTAAGTAACCATGCTGTAAAATTTGGGGTTGCTTGTGTCAGGAGCTCATCCTACACTCGAGTAGGACCCTGGCAGAGACATATGCCCAACTGGCAAGTTCTCTCCCTCCTGGTCATTCGTTCGGGAGCTTCAAAAGTTTTCTTTAGCCCGAACATCACAGCGACCGATGCCAACAGACATTGGCACACTTAGGGATCCGCAGAGTCTGCGCAGTTCACATGACAGAACTCAGCATTTTGGCTAATCTACTTTATTTACATATAAACACACACGGAGCACTGCAACATGGCTCCCTCTCTCTCTCTAGCATCAGAAAGCAAAGAGAGAGAACAAAGGACAATAGTCCCACTTCACGGAACACAGTAACACAAACATCCTGTCTCCGTCACTTGCCACTCTGTGGAGTCAAAACATATACCGTCATGTGATAGACAACAATCCCATGACTGCAATCACAGAGCAGGAATCCTAACAGCTTGGTGGAATTTAAATCAGCTTCCCAGCTGAGACATTCATGTTCCCATTCTTATTTGTAACCACAATACTGTGCTTTCTTAACGGGGAGGGGGTTATGATCAAACCCTCCCGATTTTCCAGGGACAGTCCTGGAATTACAAAAGCCATCCCAGCTTCCAATTTGATAGCAGAATGTCCCTATTTTCCCTGCCTGTGCTGTAGCTGCCGCCGAGACAGGGAGTAAGATAAGCCTCGTACCAAACGGTGGCGGCAGCTGGCTGAGTTTCGTGCTTTTGTTCTTATAAACCAGCCTGGAAATTCCTTTGAATGAAAGTTGGCATAGGAATGATTGTAGATAGAAACGCTTGTGATCATTGCTCAAGTCGCTTGCCTCTTAAGCGTTGGCGAATAAAGGCAGCCTATTGCAGCTCTGATCTCAGCGTTGACCCCAGTGCCATGACTTGATGCTTCGGCCTGTAGACTCTGGCACAGCCTTTCTCAACTTGTGGGTCGCCAGATGTTGTTGAACTACAACTCCCATCACCCCTAGCTAGCAAGGCCAGAGCTCAGGGATGATGGGAGTTGTAGTCCAACAACATGTGGGGACCCACAGGTTGAGAACCGCTGCCTGAGGGCTGGTGTCATCCAAAACAACCTCTGCCCCTGAGGCTCTACAGAAGAAATCGCCCCACCCCAAAGCTCAGGGGGGCACTGCACTTGTAGTAACTCTCTCCATCCCCTTCTTCTCCATTCCCAGACTGCCAGGAGGAGCAGTATCCCTGCACCAGACTCTACTCGGTCCATAAGCCTTGCAAACAATGCCTGAACGAAATCTGCTTTTACAGGTGAGCAGCCACTGGAGGAGGTCACTATCTGGCTTAGGGAGAGTCCTTCACCCAAAGACCCACAGAGGATGGGGACAGATCTAAAAAGGGTGTTCACTTGCGCCTCCGCCAGGCGTGGAAAGCACCTCTGTTGCTCTTTCAGAGCTCGCAGTAGATGGAGGCCCCCCCAAACATCTGGATGGGCCACAGTTGGTTGCCTTCTCTGCAGAGATTTGAGCAGAGCTGGGTGATATCTGGTTTCCAACATCGCTATATATCACCAGCTAGGGACATGGGTGGTGCTGTGGTCTAAACCACTGAGCCTCTTGGGCTTGCCAGTCAGAAGGTTGGCGGTTCGAATCCCCGCGACAGAGTGAGGTCCCGTTGTTCAGTCCCAGCTCCTGCCAACCTAGCAGTTCGAAAGCACGCCAGTGCAAGTAGATAAATAGGTACCACTGCGGTGGGAAGGTAAATGGCATTTCCGTGTGCTCTGGCTTCCGTCATGGTGTCCCGTTGTGCCAGAAGCAGTTTAGTCCTGCTGGCCACTGACCCGGAAAGCTGTCTGTGGACAAACGCCGGCTACCTTGGCCTAAAAGCGAGATGAGCACTGCAACCCCAGTTCCCTTTGACTGGACTTAACCGTCCAGGGGTCCTTTACCTATATTACCAGCTAAGCATCGCGATATACCAATATATATCATGATGTCTGAAATAAGGATGGAGCTACGCAGAGTCATTGGCTGGCTTCACAGTTTTCCCCACATTGTGATTCTTTCATAGCACACATACACACACCAGGTCAAAAAATATAAAGCGTATATTAGATTAGAGGGTGATCTCTAGGGCATCTGGCGTGCTCTGCTCTGTGCTACGAGATACTGATCCCCACTCCAAATGCCTGCCAAGGCAGAGCACTGAGAAACTCTGTACAGTGGTACCTCGGGTTAAGTACTTAATTCGTTCTGGAGGTCCATTCTAAACCTGAAACGGTTCTTAACCTGAAGCACCACTTTAGCTAATGTGGCCTCCCGTTGCTGCTGCGCTGCCAGAGCCCGATTTCTGTTCTTATCCTGAAGCAAAGTTCTTAACCTGAAGCACTATTTCTGGGTTAGCGGAGTCTGTAACCTGAAGCGTATGTCTCCTGAAGCGTATGTAACCCGAGGTACCACTGTACCAATGCCTAGCAGGCCGGTGCTTTTTAATTTCTGAACGCCATAAATCAACTTCACCACTTAACAGCCAGAGCTGTCCTCTTTTAACGGACTTCATGCGCAAGCCAACATCACAGGAGGATCTTGAACCCTGGAGGGTGGGAAGGGGTGGAATTGCTCACTAATATTTTGGGCAGAGCGAAACGTCGGAAAAGGTTCTAGTGCAGAAACGGCCACGGAGGGGCGAGGCCCAACTGCAGGCCTGCGACGTTCTCTTCACCCCCTCACACAATCTCTCCCTAGCCTCCGCCGCGTTTACGTGATCAATAAGGAGATCTGCATCCGCACCATCTGTGCCCATGAAGAGCTGCTCAGAGGTAAGCAGGCCTGAATGCGCCACCTTTCGCCCCCCCCATGCGCTGCCTCGGAAAGCCCAGCAGATGAAGCAGTCCTGGGGGCAGACATGGGCTGCGAGGGCCATGGGTGGGCAGTAGCTTTCCAAAGAGGGCGTCTAGCCCCGATACAATGGATCTCCGCCTGCTTATGAGGTCTCTGAGGGGCTTGAGGAGACCTCTGTTTGCTCCCCGCTTCCCCCTGCAGCTGACCTTTGCCGGGACAAGTTCTCCAAGTGTGGCGTCATGGCGACCAGCGGCCTCTGCCAGAGCGTGGCCACCTCCTGCGTCAGAAGCTGTGGCGGCTGCTGAGCTGGAGCTGGACAAGAGGGGAGGCCTTTCTGCACCACGGACGCCGCCGCAGGAGCCCACCCCCAGAGGAGGAGGGAGAGTGTCTCAGCCGCAAGACCGCCTCTCCTGGCTGGTGTTTTGCTCCTTCTGCTTGGCCTCACAGGAAGTCCTTGGTGCTATTTGAGGCGGCAAGGGGGGGGGGAGGCAAGGGCAGAGTCCCACCTTGTGCACATTCATAGTCTAGTGTGTTTAATTTTCATTACTTTTTTTTAATTAAAAAAACGGTGCTTCACGGGCTCTGCAGGGGCCGGTGGGATATTAAAAACCACTAGGAGGGCCAAGGGGCTATTAAGACCCCCATTTCCATTTCCCCACCACCATGAAGCGCAACCAAAGGTCAGGGTGCAGCTGTTTTTACTTCCCCCATAGCCGTACGCCTACTTTTTGTATGATTCCCCCTCCCTACTTTTCTACAAAACGTTTAAATAAATAAAACAAACCCCAAAGTATTACAATTTCTTTCCTCCAAGAACCAACCGGGTGTGAGGAGGTTTTTATTCTTGTCCACATTTATCCATAATAACAAACACCACCAGAAATATAAAAATATAAGTTTCTACGTCCGTTGATTAATGGTTACACAAAGAACCAAAGAGAAATATATACATACACAATTAGTGTGAGCATTTTGGTAAAAAACAACCAACACCAACACCACCTTGGTCACATTTAAGAAAGGGAGGAAATATCAGCCTAGACGGATTGACATGTGTATGTCTTTCCTTGCAGGGCTTTGCCTGCAACCTCACGAGCCCCACAGCTGCCCATGGGGCAGGGGGAAGAATAGCGCTATTTGAAAAGAAACTCCGCGACAAAATGGTGAGCCAAAGGGAGGAGTTCCAGATGCAGTCCGGATAGGCGTCAATAAAAATAAAAAGAGCGGCTTGTGGCCAACATTAGTCCTATTCAGAGTAGACCTACTGGAATGAATGAACTTCAGCCTATTAATCTGAATCGGTCAGATCTGAGCAAACGGGCAAGAAAAAAAGAAACCCTGCCATTTGTCTTTTACACAGATCAATGGAGAGGTTTGCAGACCCCAGAAGCAGGCTGGCCAAATGATGGTTAGCTTGTTTAGTAGTAAGAAGGTGGGGCACAGGCCTCTACCCCACCCCCCTAAGTGGGCTGTTCGGGGGGGCGTGTCCAGCCTAGGGTGCCGAGAGAATAGATGCAGGGGTGAACTTGGCTTGGCCCTTCCGTACCTCCTGGTGCAGCTGCTCCTTCAAGGTAGAGATCTGTGGGAGAGGCAGGAAGCAGGGGTCATTTGGGTCCTCCTGTGGTCATAGCACCCCCACCCCCCGGACTGCCACGGAGGCGGGGAAAGAAGCGCACCTGCTCCTCAAGGCCTTTGACCCGCTGCCGGTGGGCCCTCTCCCGGGCATCCAAGGTGTGTTCTGCCTGGAGCTGAGAGCTGCGCAGCCGCTCAGCCTCCAACTGCAGGTCCTGCCGGTGTCGGGTTGAGGAGTCCACCCTGGTCTGGGCCTGCTCCAACTCTGCCACCTGTGCCTGGGCAAGGAGAGGGTGGAGGAAAACCTCGCCGGGGGGGGGGGGACCAGCGCCTTCTCGAGCCTCATGGTTGCTGGGAAAACCTGCCGCCTCCCCAGCAAATCTCCCAGAAATCAATAGTTGCAACCACCTCTGCTTTCAACTGACAGCCAAGTTCCTAGTCCTTAAGACTGGAGATAAGCCTCAGAAGCACGTGCAGTGCCTGCTGATCTCCTGCCAGCCTAGCCAAAGGCCCATCAGGGGCGGGTGGTCCAGTGTTCTGCAGAGCTCCTTTTGCCCCTCCGTGGCTGAACCAGAGAAATGAGGCAAAAATGGGCTACGCTGAATCCTTTAGCTCCTTGTGGGGTTGGCAACGCTCGCATTTCCTTAACAGGGCCAAAGGCAGAACTGGCAGGAGGAGACCAGCAGGCAGTTCTCTCTTTCCTCTCCAAACTCTGTAGAGAGAGAGAGGGCTCCTTGTCTCCTCCTAGCCAAGGCAGCTGGATAGCTCAGTTGGTTAGAGCGTGGTGCTGATAACACCAAGGTTGCAGGTTCGATCCCTGCAAGGGACAGCTGCGTATTCTTGCATTACAGGGGGTTGCACTAGATCATGGGTAGGCAAACTAAGGCCTGGGGGCTGGATCCGGCCCAATCGCCTTCTAAATCCGGCCCACGGACAGTCCGGGAATCAGTGTGTTTTTACATGAGTAGAATGTGTCCTTTTATTTAAAATGCACCTTTGGGTTATTTGTGGGGCCTGCCTGGTGTTTTTACATGAATAGAATGTGTGCTTTTATTGAAAATGCATCTCTGGGTTATTTGTGGGGCATAGGAATTAATTCTCCCCCCAAAAAATATAGTCCGGCCCCCCACAAGGTCCGAGGGACAGTGGACCGGCCCCCTGCTGGAAAAGTTTGCTGACCCCTGCACTAGGTCCCTTTCTAGGATTCTGTGAGTCTATGGCTGAGGTCTAGCCTTGGGCCGTGGGGGAGTTGGAGCAGGCAGGGCTGCTCCCCTGGGAAGCACTTGGGTCAGGCTTGCCAGAGCGGCCTGGGAAGGGCACCAGGACTCCATGCAAGGGTCCTCCAGATGGTGCCGAGCTTCTCCTCCAGGGGGAAGGCCAATCAAAGGAGAGAAAGCAGTTGAGCCCACCAATCGGAATGGAAGACATTCGAGTTGGGAAATTCAAGCGTCGCCTAAAAGCGGGGAGCAGAGCCTGGCCAGGTAACCGAGTCAGATTTCCCAAGCAGGAAACCCCACAGAGACCACTTGGGAAGGGGCCTACTCCTGAGTAGGTGTGCCTAGGACCAGCGGCGTAGCGTGGGTTGTCAGCACCTGGGGCAAGGCAAGTAATTTGCGCCCCCTAACCCGTGGATTTGCGCCCCCTAACCCTACAAATCTATGCCTATGAATGATGGTCCCTCTCTCTCTCATATTCCAATTGATTCCCATTTCCGCCGATCGATCCCCGAAGCTCTCACCCAGCGAAATTCGTGCGTAATTACGCTTCGCCATCCCTAATCCTGCCGCTTCCACCGGGAAATCATGACGGTGCGTTTCTCCTCTCCAAACTTTCCCCGGCCCTTTGCCGGCCGGCGCAGCCCTTTTGGCTACGAGCTCCCCTCCTTCTCTGCCTGCTTCCGACCCCACCTCCCCGTCCAGCCTCCCTACCTCCTGAAAAAAGGCGCCAGCGCCGAGCAGGACACCCCCGCGGCCATCGGAGAGAGGCGGGGCCGAGGGAGGCAAGCCAATGGGCGAGGCGGGGGTAGGTGGCCACGGGGGCGGGCGCTGCCGCAGTCCTCGGGTGGGCAAGGTAGGAGCAGGCGGAGGCTGGCCGGCCGCTCTGACAATAGGGGCGGGCCGAGGGCACGACGGGCCTGGGCCCTCTGGACTCGCACCCCCCCAGATGTTGAGCCCGGTGCGGCCAGCACCCCTGGCACCCCCCACGCTACGCCACTGCCTAGGACTGCTGCAGCAGAGGGAGAAAGAAGATGTGATTGCTCTCCTACAAGGCAACCGCAGACAGAGGGACTGGGTACAAAATGTACCATACTAGGAACGACTTCTTTTAAAGGTAGAGAGTTGCTAATGAAGTCTTATTTCTTGGTATGGTGGTCGCTTCTGCATGTGCCCCCAGACAGACTGGAACATTTGAGTCAGCTGTGGGGGGAGGAAAACCTTCACTGGGGGGCAGGGAGAGTCGTTACCTCAAGGAGCCGGATCTGTTGCTGAGCCTCTGTCAGCTCCTGCTCCAAACTGGCAAGGGACCTGTCCAGGCGGCCCTTTTCGGCAGAGAGGCGTACAGAGTCCTCGTGGGTCTTCAGCTTCTCGCGCTCCACCTGGGGGGGGGTGTCAAAGCAGAGGTGTCAGGAAGCTGAGTGCCCGCCCCCTACCCCCCGCTGCCTCTTGCGGATGTGTTTCTTCACAGAAAGGCACTCTGCGCATGCTCAAGCTGTTCTTTCAGAAGGAAGGCAAGCTCCGAGAGACCACCTGCCCATCGCACTGGCCCCTGCCCTCCCTTCTGCTCGGACCCCGAGGGGCTCACCTTGTCGAGGGTCTTCCTGAGGGCGTTCCTGTCCTTCTCCAGGCGCAGGGACGAGCGCTCTGCCTCCCGCTTCTCGTTCTCCAGCTGCGCCAAGGCACGCTGCAGGCTGCTGACGCGCTCCTGGAAGAGGCGCCTGTCGCCCTGCACCTTCTGCAGGCTCCGCAGGCCGATGGCCTCGCTTTCCTGGCTCTGGCGCAGCAGCTGCAATGGAAGGGAGGAGAGAAAGGCAATGCGGAGCTCTGCAGGTCGCCCTGGCGGGACCATTCAGCTCCCTCCGTCCCCTGCCCACCTGTCTGGTTCAAACCACATGGTACCTCTGGGGCAACAGGTGGGAGGCTCGGGGGCTCGGCTCTGGGCACAAGATCCCACCCCCAACCCCCAAAACTTCCATTAAAAAAACCCCTGGCGAAAACATCTCAGGCTCGAGTCTGCCAGACCCTGCTGGGACCTCAGGAGGAAGTTCTGCAGCTACCGTATTTTTTGCTCCATAAGACGCACCAGACCATAAGACGCACCTAGTTCTTAGAGGGGGAAAGGAGGAAAGCCCCTGTTTTGGGGGGGATCAGCTCACAGTTTTGCAGCTTCTTTTGCAAAGGGGAAAAGCCCCTTCTTTTGAGGATCAGCTCAAAGTTCTTGAGCTTACTTTGCAAAGGGAAAAAATCCTGTTTTTATGGGGTTCAACTCACAATTCTGCAGCTTCTTTAGGAAAGGAAAGGGAGCCATTTCTACAGTTTCCAGACACATAATCTAATGTCACTGGGGAAACAAACAGCCTCCGTCTGCAGAACATTCAATGGAGGCCTGGGCAAGGGGGCGGAGCCAGAAAGGGAGCCAGCGATTGACCACACATTCACTCCATAAGACGCACAGACACTTTCCCTTACTTTTTAGGAGGGGGAAAGTGTGTCTTATAGAGCGAAAAATACGCTACTTCCCAAGCAATAAAACCGTTCTGCCTTGTATGATGCATGCCTGGCAGAATTTGCACAGCAGGTCACAGAATTCCATTTTCCCTGGAGTATTTTTGCTGGGGGAAGCTGCTGCCACTGCCCCCTAAGTTTTCCGCTGGGAGCCTTTCCTCCAATCCCCCCAACCCCATGCTCTGTCCAGGGACTCACTTCTTCCTGCTGCTTGACCAGCCCCTCCAGCTCTTCCTTCTGCAGTTCCAACTCCCCCTGCTGCCCCTTCATCGCCTGGAGCTGCTCGGAGAGGATCCCGTTCTGCTTCTTGGCTTCCGAGAGGGCCTGGCGGGCCGCATCCAGCCGCTCCTGGAACAGGCAACAACGTGGGCGTGGGTTCTTGCTGTGAAGCCACCCCCCTTCCCCCATTCTGCTGCCTCGCCTGCCCTTCTTGGGGGTGGGGGACTTACCAGTGGAGCCAACCCAGGGAGAGGAGGCAGCGAATTGCAGCCCAAGG